TGAGAAGCTTCAAAAGACACAGGCACCAGTGGAATGTACAAAACATGATGACATTAATTTTTAAGTAAATATAATGGGCGATATATTGCGTCACCAAAAATGATTGAGGTCGATATATTGATTATTGCGACAGGCCTAGTTATAGTCTATGTAAAGGATGATGTTTTATGTCGAAAATGCTAGTGAAGAACAAAGCCTATAGTTTACATAATAAATAATATTTGAGCATCCAGATACGTCATGAATATGGAAACATTTGAATTTGTGCAGAATGAGAGAGGTAGGCTTCAGTTTCGCTTTTAAATTAATTTGTTTTGGCTTACAACTTTAGAGGATATGTTGTGGAGAGAAGGGAACTAAAATAGCCTAATTGTGTTTGTAATGTTTCTAAATATTTTGCTTTATTTTCTGGTGTTTTAGCCTACACTATTTCTGAATGATAATAATAAAATAATAACAATATATTAATAATAAAATGCGACGTACAGCCTACTCATTTAGGCTGTTTTTCCCTCTCAAAATGCTTATAGGAGTCGCGTTTTTATTCATGCTGCAAACATTTTTAAATATCTTGAAAAAATAGGCCTACTTTAATGTCTTTAAAGCGTTGACAGTATTTTCTTTTGTTTAATACATTTGCTCAAAATCTAGAAAAGATGATGCTGTATTGGCTATGACTAGTGCTAGATAGGCTACCAGATCAAGACCCTTGTGTTTTTTTTTCTTTTTGAGTAAAGAAAACACTGTACTTTATTATTATTATTATAGGCAAAGAAAAAGTTTTAAAAATAACATTATTAACCAGTATTTTTTCTACTGAAACCAGTTTCGGAACGGTAATAATACAGAGGAACACAGAAACGTTCAAATACCAATTCTGCTTGGAGTGAACCGATCAATTTTTTTCTTTCTTCCGTTTTTAACCGCTGCTTTATGCAATTGACCAATATCAATATCGGAATCGGCCAATACTTGTTTGTTAAAATCGGTATCGGTCAAAAGAAATCCTATCGGTGCATCCCTATTAAATATATTTATATATAATATAAATTATATAAATATATATACATGTAAATACATGTAAATATCTTCAAAATATATACTGTATGTGTGTGTATTTATATATGCATAATAAATACACACAGTACAATCCCATGCATTATGTAAACAAAAACTTTTATTTTGGATGCGATTTATCACGATTAATCGTTTGACAGCACTAACATACATATATATATATATATATATATATATATATTTATATTTATATTTATACACACTTTTTACATTTTGTATAATGTTAAAATGCAAAAAAAGGATTGAGATCATTAATAGTGTGCAAGCAAAATTCTTCAAAGTCAAAGGAAGCCGACTACTGAAAATTTAAGCAAGCCAAAGAGGATTTCGCTAATTGCCAAAGAAAGAAGCCACATTTGCAGCCAGCGAGGCTGATTTAAGCCTGGATCCCAGCCTTGATCATGTAGGAGCAGGCCTTAAAGGCATAAACCCGGCCTGTGTTGTGTCAGACGGACAGAAAAAAAGAGGGGGTGGGGGCATGCCAAGCGACACCAGGGGGGCTGGGCTCCCCACAACAACAACAACAACAACAACAACAAAAAATGTGATGACGCTTGGCAGGAGGTTGAGCGGTCCATGAGCCGCACCTGCCCCCCTTGCCATAAAGGAGGAGAACCGTCTTTCTTGGATTCAAAGAGTCAGAATCACTCAGGAGAATGCGAAGACTTCAGAAAATACAGTTTGACTTCCAAGTTCACAAGTAGCTGGCCCTGCCCTGTCCCGTCAGCTCTCGAAGCCCAGCGCAGTTCAAGTGCCCACAACAGGCAGACTGCCAGTTTCATAGCCGAATGTGAGCCAGACAGATGTATTCTGTATTCACAATGAGATTAGGGTGTGGAGAGACTAAAAATAGCCTATCATTGCCACTAAGACATGATAATGTGGCACAAGTGACAGAGATTCTTTCTGAACTGAGTCTAGGATTAACAAATAAACCTATAAATGTTAAATTGATGCAAGCAAACACAAAAAAAATCATAAAGGTGCTGCATTTATAGAATCAGGTGGGGGAAATCGTTTAATTAAAAGCATTAATGCAACCACAATGAGCATTTAAACACATCTGTGCATTCACAGCAGCAGATTCATGTGCTGAAAGAGGGCTAAAAGCAAAGAAGGTAAACAGTACAACGTGTATAGATCATAAACGACGTCGTTAATATGCAAATTAGATTACAATTACATTTAAAGCGTACAAAATATCTGTCTAATACTGAACTAGTACAGCAGTCAGTCAGCGGACTGGATTGACTCCAGTCCTCTTCTCTATTTATGTGACGAAACGCGCGCATATATCTCTCATTTATCTTTAAAATGAAGACTGTCAGTAAAACAAACTATCTTTTATCTACGCCTATAGTATTTAAAGGAGAAAAGTTTGTGTGCGTAAGTTACAGGGGGTGTTTTAACAGACAAACTGGATAGTGGGGCTGTAACAAAGCCCTGAACAGTGTTCCCACAATTCCCATTCACATTCACATTCACACACATTAGCTCGCTAGCAACCGAAAAACAGCCAAACCGCTTCAATTCGCGCCTCGTTTTGGGGCGTAATTTTCATATGCTGCCTCAAACACCTCCGCGTTGACGTCTTACCTCTCCTGGTCCAGGATTCTGTCGTTTTTGTTGTATTTGGGAGCTGTGTTGTGTATGAGGAGCCGTCCTGTTCCGGGGTCACATCCCGACAGTCGGCAGCGCTGGAGAGACTCGAGAGCGTAAACGCGCCGCTGCTGAATCAGTTCCTGCCGGTGCGACGCGCGACCGTCGCCATCAGAGGGCGCTGTGACGCTGCCGGACACTGGTCGTTTATTGAGTGATCGGTGAGCACGCAAAGAGAAGGGTTTGATATTACATATTTATTATATATTTAGTATATTATACCAAGAGGAATGAAAAGTCAGAACATTCTGAAAATAAATGTAGAAACACTGATATAATACTTATCTGATCTTTCTTTAAAAAAATAAATACTAAAATAAAATGTGTTTAATACTTTATCATTATATTATGTTATGAAATATTTTTAATATATTATTAGAGGAATGAAAAGTCTACATAACAGTCTAAAAAGTACCTAAGCATTAAACTGGCTGATTAGAAGACCTAACCATAAATGTAAAAAACGTTTTTGGAGCCCTGAATATACACTGGCTGAACCACTTTTTTTCATATACACCACATTGTTTTAGTCATATTTTCAGTGGTACCACTCATAAATAGATCAATGTAATAGGTCATACTATTTTTCAGTTTCAGTAGGCTGTAGTTACTTAAAAGCACTTTTGTGGCCATCTCATGTACTCTGAAGTACTTTTGATTGCATTCTCCAGCTATTTTTGACATAATATTATCAATTCAATCTATTTTTCTCTATGAATACTGTAGCAAAAGAGACATTTAATTGGCTTTTACAGTTTCATCATATATTCCTATGATTGACATAAACCTTACACAGCATATCACCTCTTTAATGGCAATAAAGGACCGCTATTCAATAATTTGTAGTTTGCAGTTGTTTAGACAGTGTGATCATGACAGGTATTATGAACCCATTTCAATTCCAGAGAGTATATGAGCTGTATTAAAGAGCTTTGTTAATATATAATAAGCTATTAAGGTGCCCGAGTGGGATTCCGGTTTCTCAGGATTAAATACTGATTGCCGTATTACAGAAAATCCTTCAACTGAACTAAAACGGAATTCATTGTTCTTACGGTTATCACCACTGTTTCTATGCCCTAGACTCAGAGCATATGTTACTGAGAGTTTCCCAGCAGTCTCATTTACTGTACTCCTCACACTGGGAAAGCCTCGTTTATCATTCATTACACAATAAACATTGAAGCCCCATGCAGCTTCCACTTCCCCTTTTATCTCCGTTTCATTTTCACTGTGTATATTTCTCCAACACACACAATAATAACACTCAAATGCTGATCAGGCGTATTTAACTTCCTGTCCCACACTAGTCTGAATTCTGGAAATTAAGTAGGGTCAATTCGGGTAAATAGTCCACATTGTGACAGCCACCTTAAAGGAACAGTTCATCCAAAAATGAAAATTTGCTAAAAATGTACCCAACCTCAGGCCATCTGAGATGTATATGTGTTTGTTTCCTCACCAGAACAGATTTGGAGAAATTTAGCATTACATCACTTGCTCATCAGTCGATCCTCTGCAGTGAATGGGTGCCGTCAGAATAAGAGTCCAAACAGCTGATAAAAACATCACAATAATCCACAAGTAATCCACGTAACTCCTGTATGTCAATGAATGTCTTGTGATGTAGAAAAAAAGCTGTTTATACAAAACAAATTCATTAATAAGGCATTTTTAATTTAAACCATCACTTTTGGCCAAAATATGAGTCCGTAATCCATAACAATGCTTCCTCAAGTGAAAAAGTCCATCGCTTGCTGTTCTCTCATATTAAAATCCACTAACATATTTGTTTTGAACTATTTTGACTTATTTTTTCTTATAAACTGTGCACATCTCTCTCTGGATTCAGATGAAACTACTTTTTCCACCAGAGAAAGCAATATTATAGAGTTAAAAACTTTGGATTTGTTTCTTACAAACAAACAGCTTTTCACTTCACAAGATGTTAACTGATGTACTTGAGTCATGTGGATTATTGTGTTTTTATCATCTGTTTGGACTCTCATTCTGACGGCACCCATTCACTGCAGAAGATCCATTGATGAGCAAATGATACAAGGCTAAATTTCTCCAAATCTGTTCAGATGAATACACAAACTACATCCACAAAGATGGCCTGGGGGTGAACTATTCAGCTACATAGACAGCTAAATGACTACCTCCTGTCCCAGTGCCTTTGTGTAGCTATCAAAATATCAAAAAACACTTATTTAACAAAAACAAATAAATAACCCACAAATCAATTTCATAATCAATAATTTATGGCAAAAATGAGAATGAATAACACACTTCCATAACTCATAACACCTCTGAAAACTTCATATCAAACTAACCATGTTTAAAAACTGAAACAATACATTAGTAAACCGAGAAATTCAAGATCCTGGCGTTTCATACTGTGAAGTGACTAAAGATCATGGTACACAATCAAAAACAAGATGCAAGAAACAAAACAAGAAAACATGAGAGGTACTCGGTTAGTAGTCCAATAGATAGTCATCAATGCCTACACCAATGCTAAAATCCATTCATTATGTGAAAGTTATTCCTCTGTCCACTAATCTTCCTTACATTATTAAAATTATATGCAGTGGGTGTTAGTAGGACTTTCATGTATAAAGATTAGATGGATTTAGCTTTAATCTCTTTTAAAAATTCACATTCTAGAGGACATTTAAAGATTCAAAATAAACAACATTTACGCATCTGTTGAGAAAAAGCATCTTCGTGAAACAGGTAGCAGTGGATTCAGTTGGCGAATACTGTGGTGATACATTCTGGAATTAATTAAGGTTTACCGGAAGAGAAAACACAAGCTTAACTGACTCTATATTCAAAATAGGCACACAATTAACAGTGCACTGTTCTACAGAGCAACAATATTCCACTTTTGCCCTGATTTATAGTACAGTAGTACACGGCGTACATCCTTTGCACACATTTCACTGAACAAAAAGCTAACTCTTTGGACACGACTTCAAGATGGCTTGTGTCTTATCTCAAAGGCACAGAGAATACCCCACAAATACAAAATATTTAAGGCTCATTTCTACACTGACATAAAAAAATGTCTTCTCATGTACACCACTATACAAAGACTTTCCTGATGAACAATTTCCCCATTATACAAATCATTCAAATTAAAAAATACTGTTTTAAGGAATGTAAATATACGTATGATACACTAAAGAATATGTACAACCAAACAAATTCATGTAAACAAAAATGTAAACCGTATATGAAGACACACAAAGTGCTTTCTTCTCCAGAACAAAAGTCACTTATGCTGTACAGTTAGAAATTATAAATACATTAATCTCACTTGCTCTGAGCTTTTCTCTGTGCAGGTACACAAGTGTGACAGAAACAAACCAGAGATGCTAGTTAAATTAGTGGCATGCCAATAGTTTGTTAAATTAGTAGCTTCGATTCCCAGTGCAGTGTGTTGCAAATACAACATGTATCTGAAATTACTCTCATTTCAAGCAGTAGGTCTCACGAAAACAAATGTATAGAATTATTTACTATTACGTCACAGATGTAAACATTTGCTAAACAGCTGTTGATGTATATACTGCCCTGCAAAGGCAAAACGCAGGAACTTTTTTGACTGAACTTCTGGATTTTAAACAGAATCTAGTCGCATTTGACCTATGATATTGGTCATAACTAAGTTTTAACAAACGGTTTAGTTACTGCATTTTGCCTTTGCAAGGAAGTATAATGCCATAAATGCCAGATAGCAGTGCAACATATATTGTATTCAAAGCTGCATTGGTTTAAATCAAAACTCAGCATCAAGAGGGTTTCAGTGGGTCTCCTGTGATCGAATGCCATTTATCTGTTATCTTTGGCAAAAGAGTGCATCATCCAGTTCACCTTGGTCTTCCAGCTCTCTCTTAGAGCTTCATTAAATTTCACTTTAAAGTTCTTCAGTGCTTCCTCCTCAGATTTCCCCAGTGCCAAAGAGTCCTGTGAGAAAGAGGACAATCCATCATGATGGAGGTGGAATGTCACCACTGAACATATTCTGTATCCGCCTAGTTATGACATTCATTATTCCTCTAACGAATGAGACTCTTCAAGGAATAGTCAACCCAAAGATGAAAATTAGCTTAATTTTCTCACCATCAGGCCACCCAAGATGTAGATGAGTTTGTTTCTACATCATGACGAATTTAGATAAATTTAGCATTACACCACTTGCTCACTAATGGATAATCTGCAGTGAATGGGTGCCGTCAGAATGAGAGTCCAAACAGCTGATAAAAACATCACAATAATCCACAAGTAATTCACATGACTCCAGTCCATCAATTAGCATCTCGCAAATCTAAAAACTGCATGTTTGTAAGAAACAAATCCATCATTAAGGGGTTTAACTTTAAACTGTTGCTGCTGGCCAAAATACATGTCCATGATAACACTTCCTCCAGTGAAAAATCCCATCCACTGTTGTCCTCTCACATCAAAATCCACCAATATATTTGTTTAGGACTGTTCACATGGTACTTGTAAATAGTGTTTGATCTATGCATATTTCTCTCCTGATTCAGAAAAGACAATATTATGTATAGAGGACTATTTTAGAGGATTTTAGCCAGAAGTTAAAAACATCTTGATGAATTTGTTTCTTACAAACACACAGCTTTTCAATTCACAAGACATCAAGACTTGTGGGTTACTGTCATGTTTTTATCAGCTGTCTGGACTCTCATTCTGACGGCATTCACTGCAGAGGATCCATTGGAGAGCAAGTGATGCAATGCTAAATTTCTCAAATCTGTTTAGATGAAGAAAATGTTCAGCAAATATTAATTTTGGGGTGAATCATCCTTTTAAAGGGACAATTCACCTAAAAGAATTGTCATTTTTATCGCTCTCTCTTTTTTTGTCCATACTATTGTTACTATATCATGCAATATCATTGGACAAAACTCTTCGACTCTTAAAACTCTTAAATTTGTGTTCCAAAAAAAGAGAGAAAGTAATAGAGGTTTGACAATATGACGACAATCTTTGGGTGAACTCTATATGAAATATTATAGGTAACATTTTGTTTTAGCCTTGCACTAAAAACAAATCTCATACATAACAGTGTCTTTATATGTCCTCCATTTGGATTTAATATTTCATGCTTGTAAAGCACTAGAGAAACGGCAAATATCACCCATCTCATGGGTAATAAATAATAACGGTCTGTGCAATTCTTACCTTGAGATACTGGATGTCTTTGGAAGAACTGAGCTCAGGGAGTCCTGCAGCTTTCATCAAGGCAAAGAGATTCACAAAAAGAGTCCCATTCCGGCAAAGGATTTTATAGGCTTGTTCGCAGTACTCACGAAACCTGGCAAAGATAAGAACACATGAAATCTTTCCTTATTCAGTTATGAATTTTACATATTCTCTTTCCTCACAAAACCTTCCATTTATTAGCAGGTTACATATAAATGTAGTCTGTCAAGGTTATAAGCAGTCAGCAGTTTCCATACATTACAGAGGAATGTAAAAAATGCTTTCTGTTGGAAAGCATAGAAGCCTTCTTAATACTTCTTTTTGTGTGACATTTTTACACAGCTGTCGAGCTTTTGATAAATGCAGCTGATAAAAATGGAAGTATACTATAAAAAAAAGACTAGTTTTAAATGGTTATAGTTTAAAAACAAAACACAAAGTCAGAAATAGCTAAACTAGCTTTGTGGCATTAAAGTTAAAAAACATATGTACAAACCGTTCAAATTTCTCACTGTTGTTCGTCCGTCCCTCCTGGATTACATGGACAAAGTCGTATGTCAGAATGAAAGGCACACGTTCTCTGTTGATCCCGAATTTGCTCTTAAAGTTCCCCAAAAAGTGCCCAAAGTCTATATGGAATAACTGCAAACAATACAGGGAAAATCTCAACCATTACTTCAATTATTTACAAAATTCAAACCTAAAAGACTATGACAAAATTGCACAAGTATGTGAAATAGGATAAGTGCAAACCATTCTCATATGGATAGCACTCATATGGATGGCTGGTGCCATCTTGTGATACAATTTATGATTACACAGCACTGCTAGGGCACTGAGTTCACTCTCACCTGACCCGTTTCCCTGATCATTATATTGTCACTGTGACGGTCCCCTATTCCCAGAACATATGTGGCTACACAGTAGCCTGCGCAGGAGAGGGTGAATTCCTCAATGGCTTGATCCAGTTTATCCCTGAAAAAAAAAATCATTTAAAATCATAACCAAATCTTCCTGTTTGCTAACTCATTAACACACATTTACTGTATATGTGCAAATAAACGTATAATTTAGATTATATAGATAGATAGACAAACAGATATTTAAATGCTGAGTCACTGACGTTTGTCCTTCTCATAGTGTTAAACATTTTCTGTTTTGTTTCTGTCTGATCATTTTCAGTCACTCTCTGACTCACCAGAGACATTCAAAATTAATATTGCCGGGTGAATGTGTAATGTGCCTTCCTGTTCAAACCTCATTCCACATTAGCTCAGATTCCATAAGAAGCCATACTAGAAAGACTTTCAATATGATCTTGTCAAATTTGACTGTTCAAAAGGCATTCAATAGCTGGACACAGAGTCTAAAATTAACAAAGTAAATGCAAAATGAGGGTAAAAATTGTTGAGTAAAAAAAAAACACCTCACTTTAGGCCATAAAAACGAAATGAGGAAAAAAATTGAAAGTTGCAGTGAAATCTCTTCTTGTGTATTATGCGGCATTTAATAGGCCTGTCACGATAACAACTTTTTGTTGTGCGATATATTGCCCCAGAAATAATTACGATAAGCGATATTATTGTCATTTTAAAAAACATTTTATGCCACTGAATATATAATCATAATAATGCAAGAAGGCCTACACACTTCCAAATGACAACAAACTTTTAATTTTAAGAATATTTAGATCATGGAAATTAAGTATCAAAATATTAGAAACCTTAAAAAACCTGAATAAATATTAAATAAACATTTTCTAACAAAAAGTGAAGTAACAAGTAGAAAAAAAAGAAAAATGCACAAAGAATTTGTATGGAGCTTTTTCCATCTACAGATTTTTCCCGTACCTTCTTTTCTCTGTAAATTAAGGTTGCACACTATTGCTGAAAAACACAATCACTACTTAGCAGTCAGATCCCTAAACAAGGCCATATCCGCAGATGAAAATTTTTTTTGTAGAAGCATTTTTTACATTTGAACTAGCACCTCATGATTACACCGCGTTATGTTTTGAGAAGCTGCAAAAGACACAGGCACAAGTGGAATGTACAAAACATAATGACATTAATTTTTAAGTAAATATAATAAGCGATATATTGCGTCCCCAAAAATGATTGAGGCCATGTACATATGCGCGATAAGTCGATATATTGATTATTGCGACAGGCCTAGCATTTAACACAATAACTGTACTGTTTGTCACAATTGTGCAAGAAAACAATGCAGTTAATTAAAATAGTATATACATACTGGCAAGCTGGGCAAAAAGATACATATGTACCTTAGACACAGACACTGCTCAGCTAAATAAACTGCTCAGCAAATAATGCACTTCTTTATGTATCCCCTCATGCAACATTAAATCATCAAACAACATCATCCAATCAGCAAGCAGTGGTCAGGACCTATTACGAGTGTCCCATACTCTGTTATTCCTTACAATATAGCATAACATTTACAGTAAGTGAACAACCAGCGAACAGAACTGGATATGTCCACAGGGGGCATATATCCGTTTCAGACAAGCCTTCAGCATCTTCAGTTTATTGCACTCTAGTTTCAAGAGTTCAAGAGGTCATGTATAAACAGGATACTTGAAGAAAATCATGCATGCATCATAGCGAGTAGCTGGTTTGCCACATACGCTTAACCAAAAGTAGTTTTGTTAGTTGCCTAAATGCTTCACACAGAAGTGAATTAAAATCAGTCATGTACAGTGGGGCAAAAAAGTATTTAGTCAGCCATCAATTGTGCAAGTTCTCCCACTTAAAAAGATGAGAGAGGCCTGTAATTTTCATCATAGGTATACCTCAACTATGAGAGACAAAATGAGAAAAAAATCCAGAAAATCACATTGTAGGATTTTTAAAGAATTTATTTGCAAATTATGGTGGAAAATAAGTATTTGGTCAATAACAAAATTTCATCTCAATACTTTGTTATATACACTTTGTTGGCAATGACAGAGGTCAAACGTTTTCTGTAAGTCTTCACAAGGTTTCCACACACTGTTGCTGGTATTTTGGCCCATTCCTCCATGCAGATCTCCTCTAGAGCAGTAATGTTTTGGGGCTGTCGCTGGGCAACACGGATTTTCAACTCCCTCCAAAGATTTTCTATGGGGTTGAGATCGGGAGACTGGCTAGGCCACTCCAGGACCTTGAAATACTTCTTACGAAGCCACTCCTTCGTTGCCCGGGCGGTGTGTTTGGGATCATTGTCATGCTGAAAGACCCAGCCACGTTTCATCTTCAATGCCCTTGCTGATGGAAGGAGGTTATCACTCAAAATCTCACGATACATGGCCCCATTCATTCTTTCGTTTACACAGATCAGTCGTCCTGGTCCCTTTGCAGAAAAACAGCCCCAAAGCATGATGTTTCCACCCCCATGACCATATGGCATTCTCCCAATCCTCTTCTGGATCATCCAGATGCTCTCTAGCAAACTTCAGATGGGCCTGGACATGTACTGGCTTAAGCAGGGGGACACGTCTGTCACTGCAGGATTTGAGTCCCTGGCGGTGCAGTGTGTTACTGATGGTAGCCTTTGTTACTTTGGTCCCAGCTCTCTGCAGGTCATTCACTAGGTCCCCCTGTGTGGTTCTGGGATTTTTGCTCACAGTTCTTGTGATCATTTTGACCCCACGGGGTGAGATCTTGCGTGGAGCCCCAGATCGAGGGAGATTATCAGTGGTCTTGTATGTCTTCCATTTTTTAATAATTGCTCCCACAGTTGATTTCTTCACACCAAGCTGCTTACCGATTGCAGATTCAGTCTTCCCAGCCTGGTGCAGGTCTACAATTTTGTTTCTGGTGTCCTTTGACAGCTCTTTGGTCTTGGCCATGGTGGAGTTTGGAGTGTGACTGTTTGAGGTTGTGGACAGGTGTCTTTTATACTGATAACGAGTTCAAACAGATGCCATTAATACAGGTAACGAGTGGAGGACAGAGGAGCCTCTTAAAGAAGAAGTTACAGGTCTGTGAGAGCCAGAAATCTTGCTTGTTTGTAGGTGACCAAATACTTATTTTACCGAGGAATTTACCAATTAATTCTTTAAAAATCCTACAATGAGATTTTCTGGATTTTTTTTCTCATTTTGTCTCTCATAGTTGAGGTATACCTATGATGAAAATTACAGGCCTCTCTCATCTTTTTAAGTGGGAGAACTTGCATAATTGGTGGCTGACTAAATACTTTTTTGCCCCACTGTAAGTGCTGATGCTGAAGATTAGTTTGACCCCAAAAAGACCCCAACACTCAGACTTCTCTAAACCAGTGCATTTCTGAAAAGGTCATTTTTTCCCATTCTGACAGGATCGACAACTTGCAAAAGGAGACTGTGTTACACAATGCAACGCGCGCTGTGGTTTCTTCTTAGTGCTCAGCTTGTATACTTAGCTGTTATCACAAAAAACAATATGCACATCAAGTCACTTTGGTAGAAAACACCTGCCAAGAACAAATGAAATTGTAAACGCAGTATAACGTGGAGTAAATTTACTCCACTGCTGCAACTTCTGCAACCTAAGTGCATTTGATGTTACATTATAGTTTCATATAAACCAAAAGGTCAAATGAGTCAAGAGAGGTTTAACCCTGAGAGTGAGGTTCGAGAGTAGAAAACAGCATGCATGGCTCATGCAAAATCATCAAATGATGCCAAATTGGTTGGCTACGCTACACTCGCTTGCAGCGATCACACCACACGGGCTGTGGCACGGTGTAAGGTTTGAGAGTGTGCTGCTTACCCTGGGTTTTTGGATTTGAGCCAGTTGAGAAGGGCGTCCTTATTGAAGGCAGCAGTGGCTGCACTGTTGCTGTTGTTTCTCTGGATGTTGGCGATAGTGTCTGAGTTTTTCACCACCTCGATGAGACCCGTTTTGTTCCCGGTCGACAGGCATCCATAGGGCAGCATTCTGGGACCCAACAAAAAAACGTTAACAGAAATGATTTATTTTGATTTTGTTTTCCACAGGATCTCTCTCTCTCTCTTTAAAAATAAAATGAAAAAAAATTTTAAAAAATTATATTTTTATTTATTCATTTATTTGAAATATACATTTTACATACATACACACACACACAAGCTTATTCACTGCACACATTTTCTGCTAATTGATCATCTTGGCGGAACAAAGTTAACTATACAAACCTGAGGTCAAGACCTTCTGTTTTCCACAAAACATCCATCAGCTGAATCATCTGAAGGGTTAGCATATCCTGCCGCAGATCTAAAAAAAAAAAAGATATAATGGTCCAAGTCTTTTTTCCCCAATCACTAAATGAGGGGGGGAAAGGGTGGGGGGGGATTTTCAATGCAAGCAACAACAAAAAAAATGTGGTAGTATGACTGTGTCCATACCGTCTCCATTTTTGAAGATAATGCCCACATGATCATATTTGTCCTTATACATCAGCCACAGAGGTTTCATTTTGGAGTCCATGAACTTACACTTGTCTGCACTGAAACAAAATAGATTAGCATCAAGAAACGACACTCGGACACAAATGGTTGCAAAACAGGCTTTGTTTTCGCTTTCTGGTAACTGCTTTTACGTGACTTGTATGCAATGCACCTGATCATTTAGCGGGATTACTGAATTAAAATGATTGCTTCTGTAACATTGCATCATGTCGTAGATTCAGTAACAGCTTAAAAACCTAAAACGACCCATGAAACCTTAAAAAATGCATAATGAGAATTATTTAAAAAGTGTTTTGCACAATCATTCCAGTTATCGCAAAATCTGCATTGCTAAAAAACACACCATCTGTAGGATGTTAACCAAAGAAACATCATTTGTTAACAAGAGCTGACGCAACAACCTCTAAAATCTCTCAAGATATGTTATTTTGTATTACATATTAACTGCATTTAAGAGACTTTATTATAAATCTACTTTATTAACATGCATGTGAATGGTACCATAGTTCACACAGCACGATGCTTGGGTTGAGAGGGGAGACGACATCCGAAAGCGCCTCCATGTAAGTGTCCTGTTTGATGCACACTTTCATGTCCTCTGTAGTCTGTATCCTGGTTGCCTTCTGACTGCCTGATTTCACAAAGTCATTGAGAGCCTTCATTTTATTCAGAGCCTCATTCTGTAGGAGACAGAGATAAGAAGTATATACTGTAAGTACATACAAATCCATATGCACACACATTAAATTTGGAGACAAAACTGGACTGAATTAAAGCAGTATGCATTTAGCATGGTGTGATAATCAATATTTGAGAAGGCATGTAAAAACAGCTGCAAATTTGAGCAGCGTAGTGCAGTTCCCCTTCCTTCCAGTGGTTTGGCTATTATTAAACATTCAAAAGAAGACGAGTTCTGAGCACTGTCACTGTGGAACTGCTGCTGCAAAGAAAAGCGTATTCCAGCACCCTTGTGCTTGCTTGCTATATTTATACACGTACATTTATGTGCCTGAACGAACTGGCGTTTCTTACAAGAAAACGCACAACGCAATGTGACAATTACCAGAACGGGTAACTGAGAAAACAAGTCAAGTGCTAAATGGGCCCCAAGTGTCAAAAAGGGCCCCCGGAAAGCAAAATGCAAAAAAAAAAATAGGTGCTAGAAAAATGTATTTGCTTTTCACATAAGGAATAAATGCAACAAACCTGCTTCATCAAGCTCTTGATGAGAAAGATGCTCCCACGACAGTACGCCTCCAGAATAAGTCCAAATCTCAAGCTGACTGAGGGCACATGCATTTCTGACCTTTAGAGAAAGCAAAAACAAAGCCTAAATTACACTGAAAGGAATGGGGGCGCATTGCTGTAGAGCACTATAAGAAGATGGATTTATACCTGAGGTGCCAAAACAAGAAGTGACCTATTTTCTTGTTGGAAAGGGCTCTCTCAAGCAAGAAACAGGTCAAGTCACAATCCAAGTAGGATTCATACTTCAGAACCTGCACCAGTTGCAAGAGGTACTGAAAGAGCTCATCATTACTGTTGAGGGAAAAAAAAAAAAACCTTAAATGAGAAATTACATATGAGCCGTTTTTAACTCCCTCGTAAATATTCAATTCAGACAAGGCTCTCTTGACACGCAAATTAAACATTAATCAAATTACTTATTGAAATTATTAATAAAATACCTACAAGTGCTTATTTGAATGTCTCTACAAATGTTAATTGTTAAATGTTTTTTCTTCTGATTATGACAGAGCCTGTGCAGACATCCCTGCTACTTTTTTTTTTAAAAGCTCTCAAGAGCAGGTGTTGATTATAGAGGCAGTGCCACCCACCGCAAGTTCCCGAGGCAGCGGATGGTGAAGGAGCGGACATGAGGGTCAGGGAAACTGTAGTCCAGAAGTTCTAGAGCATGTATAGCAGGCAAATCTTGCCATTTCCGTAACAAACCAACCATCTGAGAAAAGAAAAAAATACACAGAGAGAGTGTAGAACAGCCTCACAAGCCATAAAGTTTGAAAGAAAAGCGCTCTGGGTGGTGGTAAAGATGTGTAAGCAATGTGGTATAATGAGCAAATCAATCCTGAAGAAGGAAACTGAAACAATGTTGTCAGTTATTCTTTTAATATTTCATTTAATTTAGAAGTACATTTACTTTTTTATTTTCAAAATAATACTTTTTTTTTTTTTTTTTTTTACAATAAATAACTAAAAGGATAAGTGTTTTTATTTACGTAATCAATTATTTTGTTTTGCTTTTTTGACCATTTACCTGCAAAAACAATAAAATAAATGCATATAAAAATGTAAATGTCAAAAGTAGTACATCAGATGTAGGCTACAAGGAATTGTTCAATTATTTTAAATGCGCCTTTTATATGGTATTCCTTGAATAATTAACCCTTGTGTCATGTTCCGGTCAATTTGACCAAGAGAAGATCTTAATTTGCCTGAAAATGATCACATTGGACTTCAAGAGTGAATGTTGCCAAAATTGCCATTGACAAAAACAATTGAATCCAGGATTTGGGGATTATATAGCATAATTAAAAAGATTTACAAGCAATTTTTAAAAGGCTGGCCATTTTTGACACAGGAACACCAGAGTAGGTACAATTCTTTTTAGCAAAGCGAAAGGGTTACATTTTTCAATGTCTAAAAATAATCATATCCCGAGGAACTAGTGGTTCAACATACCTGAGCCACGTCCTCGTGTTTGTTCCACTTAGTGATGAGGAGGAGTTTGGGGAGGCTCTCCGGGTATCGCTGCCTCACCTCTTCACGTAACTTCCACAGAAGCTCCTTCTCATCCTCAAAGAACTCCGTGTAGTTTTTATTGTCCACAATCTCTCTCAGTTTCAGGTGCTGAAAGAAGTTTATTAAAGTCGTTTTAATGCTTTCGGCTCTAGTGATATGAATCAATCATTGGAAAACGTTCAATGCTTCAGCAAACCACAACTCTTAACAGTGCTGTAGAAACACAGGCCCTAATGTAGCAACCATTTCCATTTCATGACTGACATATATGCATGTTTCTCGTCTCGTCACTAATACATTGTATTTCTTACCTCTTCTTTTGTAGCAACAACTTTTTCACCATTCATACCCAGCTCATTTAGCTGAAAACAACAGAAGATAATGACTGAGCATTTATACGCCATTTCAATGAAACGTACAGACATTACGAGAAGCGTGCAAGTATTAAGCAGAACCACAAAAATTCACCTTTTCAATTGGAGGATAATACAGGGGGTGTGGTCTGATGTTGGGAAATCGAATCAGGAGACCAGCTGTGCTGTCAATGTTTGGATTTTTCTCCACAGTGCCCATAGGATTCAACAAATCCCCTTTATCATCTAAAAATAAAACAACTGAGCTGTTAAAACCTTAATTGAGGTCCCTAATCCTGATATGAAATAACCAAAAATAACTACTCAAAATAAGACTTAACAATACTATAAAATCACTCCTGTGATTTGCAGAATTCCTAAAATAACTCAACCAAAGGTCATGCCAAAAGAAGCAGCTGTAAATAGCATAAGCTACTGTTCATTTTAAAGTACCTGGGACTGATGGCCATGTGGAAAGGGAAAATTCTCCAGTTTTTAGCTGGTCCTTGTAGTCAAACACCATTGTATTAACCCAGGCCAACGGGCAGTCCTGTGGAAGGAGGGATCATTTGGAGGTTTATTAACCATATTGGCATTACACAATAGTCATTTAATGTGGGAGAGGTGATATTGTCATCTAAACAGTGCAGTACACTAATGCCTCTGTTGTGGGAGGTGACAATTCAACTGACTAACCAAATATTCCAGCCACAACAGCAGTGATTTCCAATATACCCATAAAACAGACCTAATACTTCCTGTGTATGATTGAAAATGTAGTCCAGTTGTCAAGCGCTTTTAATTGTGCAAACAGAGATTACTGTAATCAATAGTATTTTTAGAAGCGCTGTTTGTGAAAATTGTGTTGTTTGTTAAGAGATTCAAAACAAATAAAATGAAAGGTAACAGGAACATGTTAAAAAATAGATGAATAAAAGCTGGCTGCAAATAGCTGCCCATTTTAACAATATTTAACTAAAAATGGTTTAAATTCTAACCCAGTTCAATTCCACATATCAATTCAATGTTGACTAAGTCGACATAGTAAAAGTAAATATAAATACATGTTTTTAAATTTTAAAAATGATTCAGAAGAAATTATTTATACATTATTTTAATAAACAAAGATTATTGTAAATAAAATGTTATAAAATTATGTATAATTCATAATAAATTATAAAAATACATTTTATAAAATGTTTTTTTTTAATGAAATTATTATAATATAAATTCCAAATACTACATTTACATGTGAAAGGCTAGAGATAAACAATTGGTAAAAGAAAAAAATTCTAATCCAATTTATATGAATTCAGTATTGCCTAAAGCTACATAGTAACAGTGTATAGTATATTTTAATAATATTTATTAAATATATCATATTATATTATTTAAATATATTTAAAAATCTGAAGTAATTTCAGAAATTATTTTATAATCAATTTTAAAAATAATCTGAAATAATTTAATTGATAATTAATTAAAATTAAATGATTTTTATAAAATAATTTACATTTAATTAAGAATTGATTATTAATATTTTAAATACAATTTCAGTAGGAGACTGGGTTTTTTTCTCTTTATGTCTCACACGTATGTGGACTTCTTCTCTAGTTTGCTGAAAGAGAAGTAACACTGAAAGCAGAAGTGGATGCGTTGGTGTTGCCAACATCAGCCCACCACACACACACACACACACACACACACACATACACACACACACACACACACACTTTGACACCTGGGAATTTGAACACTGCGCCTTCAGTTGACACAGCACGCTATATGACAGAGACCGGGCCACGTAAAGGTGTGCTGGTGAGTTCTGATTTGACAAAGTAGCTGCTCTGTCCTAATATTTAACTTGGGTTACTCGCATTGAGCAGGCAATGGACCACAACATCCTGTTATGAGGGTTTAAATAATATTGCATCATGCTGACTATACTACCAATAGTGTGTTTTGTGTTTTTGACTTGGAAACAACATTCACTGTGAACATGTTCAGTAGCCATGAATGTCAAACCCTCCAAGCATAACAGTTTCTCATGAATGTTTTAAAATAGAAACAACCGTTCAATGTTGACTTCTCCGACAAGCAAAAAAGGAGATGCAAGCGGTGAACATAAGCAACAGTGCTGGCCTTTTCTAAGAATCTAGGCTCAAGAGAGAGCCGTAAAGCCAGATAGTCACTCCCCACTTCCTGTTTTGATGTTTCACTTAACCGCTTCTGATGAATTATGGGAAATATGTGGTCAGGGTCACATGACCACAGTGTTCATGATTTCACCCCTCACTACCTGCACACAGTTGAAACGCTAAACAACATGGCACTCACATCCAACTAACAATATACAAATGCAGATAGATAAACAAACAAGTAAACAAAATAAGCAGTTTTACCTTCATGCCTTCATCTGCATTCACTCGGCTGCCCTGTAGAAGGTATATATAGAAAGGCTCATGGATAGACCACAGCGAAGATGTGTTTTGCTGTTAAGAGAAGAAGAAAAAAAGCAACTTAACATTTTAAACATTTTCTTCATCATGTTTCTATTTTCATTGCAAGCTAACAAACAAATGTGCAAGCATGCTTGACAGTTACAGAGAAACCAAAACCAAACAACAGAATGAGGAACTAACATGAGTGTGAATCTAATGTTGTGAAGGTAAACCAAGCAGTTCGTTTTGGTTCAGTAACATCTTTCATCAAATGGTATATCACATGCATCAGACAACCACAGGAGAAATGTACATACTTCGTAGTGTTGGGGTAGTTGATTTGAAACAGCTACCTGATTAAAATTGTAGTTAGCTACACTGCAAGCAGCTAGTGAAATAGATTATATTGAAGCTATTTTAGGGTGAAATATCTTTATAAATGCATAACTGTAATGATACAGGCTACAATTTATTTTTTACATTTATCTGCAACAAAAACAATGAGGATCTCAAATAAAATGGCTGCATTAAATTTATTAGATAAATATAGCTTATACATTTACACTAAATGCAACAACAAAAAAAGAAAACACCTTTATTTATATGAAAAATGGTGAGAAGCAGCGATATTTAACTAGAATATTAATTAAATTTAAAAAGGCAAAGGGATGTCCGTTCAGTGAATCATTACTTAACCAGTCTATTTAAATAAACTCTCCAAATGAACAAATTCACTACATAGAAACATTTTATGTTACAAACATTAGCAATGAAGCATTTTGTCACTATATACTTGTTTGTTGGAAAATGTCAAAACAGTCTCTCAAAAAAAAAAAAAAAAAAAAAAAAAGTAACTATTTTGTTTGAATTCAGACGACATGATTTTTAGGGCTGTGTATCACCAGTCACGATACGATACGTATCACGATACAGAGGTCATGATACGATACAGGACTGCACTGAATTTCACCAAAGCAGAATTATTGGAACTATTGGCAGAGCAGGCAGCCGACCTCTGCATTATGAAGGGCCTCCATAACTGTACCACAGTACAATATAGGTAATGGCATACGTTTCATATTTACATTGGGCACTCCCCACCAGATACAATATTCTGATTGTTTGCATCTTGTTTTTAAGCCCATAAATAATAATGTACTCGTTCTAATACATTTATATTGTAATGTACTCATACTAATATATTTTTAAAAATCATCTTTACATTGCTGGTAGGTTATCATTGCACAAATTAACACAATTTCTACATTTAAAAAAATTAAAATTAAAATTAGAAGAGTTCTAAACTAATGCGCTGTCTTCACTGTATCTCATGCGCACACGATTTTAGTCACACACACAGATCACATTCAGTAACACAAACTTTTTAGCGCTGCCCTGCAATTTTATCAATAAAGTAGCTTAATCGCTCAAGAGCTACATTATTTTTCTCAACAAGGAGCTGGTAACATCATCGTTTCTAAAGGAATTAAAGCCACAGCTTCACTGTTAACAGAGAAATGCGGCAAAACAGAGGTAATTCATACATACACAGACTCTCTCTCTCTCTCTCGTGTAAATAAACACTTGATGAATTACACTTTTCTGAGAATAGAATATTAAAGTGGAAATCGCTAAACTGCAACCGCGTTTATCCACAGTGGAGCGAGAGCGAGTGCACATGGTTGCCAGGTTGATAAAGTTAAGTAGCACACTTAGCAGATATTTCCATATTGCGCAAGTGTGAAGCTCTGTTTCGGGGATTACGTCTCTTTATATCAGGCAACCCAGTTGTGTGCCTCTGCGGCCAGATTAAACCTTGTTATAGCCTATATATTATGCTCTATTCATTATTTTTTAGAAACCTCGCACTTTTTGACTCCATTTTAAACCGTGCTCTCGTATTCAAATTAAGCACGATCCACTGCTCCACATGCGCCACAATATCGATACAGGGACAGCTGTATCGATACTCGTATCGTCAAATCTCTGTGACAATACATCGTCATATCGAACACAGCACTAATGATTTGTACGAAAACATGATTTTAGAAAAAATTTACAAGCAAGAAAGCTCACCCCTAAACCTAATTGTTGGTATGGTATAAGTAGATTAAACAAAAACATAAGATCGTACAAATTAGCCACCGAAGCGTGAAATAGTTACAAACTGAAACTGCCATGACAGTGTGTTCGAAAATGTAGCTTGTTTTAAAGCTGAGCTACTGTCAAGTAAACTAGCTTGTAGAGTTACTACAATTAATTATTTAATTTTTTTTAATTCCGGAAGCATATACAACTAGCAAGGAACACTTTATGCTCCATCTCATTAATTCAAAGCACTTCCATGAAGGGGTCACAGATGATCAAAAAGTCACCATGGGTAAATGATTGCGAGTACATCGCATTGCAAATCGAGTTCACAGAGGTTGAAGTCTACAACATAAGCTACAAGAGAAACATGAAAAGTAGTTCCCCTGTTAATAACAGATCGTGTTCCGGTGTAAAAGTGCCTTCTCACCCTTTTCAGAGGCAGCGGGGGCGGTTTGGACTGAGCACGAGTCCTGGACACCTGGTTACTAAGGCCACCCTGTTCCTCCTGGAACTTGATGATGACTGAATGATGCACCATGGTCAGGTGTGGGGTAATGCCTCCATGCAAACATGTAAAAATATACTGCGAGAGAGGAAAAAAAGAAAAAAAATTAGCTCATATGTTCGAGACACATTGAGTTACGGTGCTTATATGGGAGACGCAAGTTCATATCAGTCTTTCTTGCCATTATTCTTGTCATTTCTCCACTATCAAAAAAATGACAAAAGCCCTAAAAACTCTTAAATAAAAAGTGAATGAGATAAAGCACAAAATTAATGTTTTTTTCGTAAACAGACAATCAGAGACAGACAGCGAGGGATGGAAATGGTAGCCGATGTACAGATGGTTTTATCAGTTCCTGTTTTCCAAAATGTACACTATAAAGACCTGACCAGATCCAGTACTCCTGGACTAATCATCATCAGATCCTGCGGCCTGTTCATTTAGGTAGCGTAATGCAGCTGAAATCACATTATCCTCAACGTAGTTGATGTTTTGAAGGCTGGTAGAGATGTATGACTCATCTTTGCAGGTTCAAGTAGTTTCTAAATCAACAACTGTTACAGAGCCATGAAGTCCTACAATGAATTCAAATCAAGGCCTCTAAAGCCTGACAAAATTTACATTGCAGCAAAATGGAATATATAATAGGACAAGATTTACAAAGGCATGCAGCCTGGAGTCTGAAAGTGTGGTGCTTTCATATAAATTTGAAAGAAAATGTAGCTGTGAAGTTGAGATGATGTTGTGACTTTCAGACTTACTTTAAACTGGCAGAGTGGATATTTTCCATAAATGAACTCCCATCTCCCGTTAACCTGAAGGGTGTAGTCCTCTGGCTTCTCCTGCTTGGCCGGTCGGAACACGTTGGACTTCTTTCTCAAGGCGTTCCGTTTCAGAAACATCGGCAGGTCCTGTGGATCTTGCTGGAGAACGAAGGTCTCCTACAAAGTCAAAATGTGAAATGCATAACCAGGGGGTCCAAAACATTGACATTCTTTCATTAGAAAAAGAGTAAGCCTACAATATAGGCTGAAACTATAGAATAAGTCATAACTATAATGCAAAAACATAATATAGATACATTTAAGATCAGTAGATTTGTGTTTCAGTAGGGATTAATTAAATGAATATAACATGACAGTAAAGACTTATACATTGTAGATTTCTATTTAGCATAAATGCTTTTAGAACTTTTATTGAGCAAAGAATCTTGAAAAAATGCATCACAGTTTCCACAAAAATATTAAGCAGCACAACATAATATGACATAAGAAATGTTTCTTGAGCAGCAAATCAGCATATTATAATGATTTCTGAAGGACCATGTGACACTGTATCTGTAATGATGCTGAAAATTCAGCTTTGCAAGCACAGGACTAAATTACATATGAGACTATATTCAAATAGAAAACAGACTTCTCTCAAAGATCTTGAAAAATATCTACCCCAAACGTTTGAATGGTACTTCATAATAAAAAACAGAAATTTTGCATCTAACTATATTCAAAAACTGAGAATGCGGGACTGCCAAGTTGATTGAGAGTGTGGGGAGACTATGCTTTATGGGAGTGGGTGGTCATGGTTGCCATGATTCTTATTTCCATGGTAACAGCGACTTCTCTGGGGTCTTTGAACAGTTTGTGTTATGAAAGGGGTCCTTGGTTCAAAAAAGTTTGAGAAAACATGCTCTAGTTATAGTAAAAAAGCAGAAAACTCCCTCATAATCACTGATGCGCATAGGATCAGGGTTCACTCACTATAGTATGATTAATTACTCATTATGTGATTGTTTTTCTCTGCAAATGCGGTGTCGAAACGGTCTGGCTTTTGATCCATGTCATGAATTACAAAAACAAGTGCTGCTGCTTTTTTTGCACGCTTCAGACTCATTACAAGGTTAAAGATCATAGGTAAATAACATTCGTGTTGAGTGGGTGGGGGATTGACAGGCAACACAACACATAGAAATACTATCAAAGGCTTCACTCTGGAAAACTGGGTCAGTGAGAGCCATGTGTGCCTGCAGATGCTGCAGTAAACATCTCCTGACAGTTACGATTTGTGATATCAAAGGCAGAAAATATGTCAGTCTAAAATTAGACTTTTGCATGAGAGGATTAAATAGTCAACGACTACATAACATGCTGCTAATTTCACATTATCAGCACAAACAGAAAGCAGATACATAGCATTATACTAAAGGAATGAATTCCCAGAAAGCATAAAAGAATGGTATATTAACATGAACTCATGTAAAATATGACGTCACTCACCTCACTGCCCTCAAACTTCACATTGACCAAAATCTTTTTGCCGCTGTGCGATTTCCCAGATTGCGCCACTACCGAGCACGGCTCCAAGTCACACGGGAAGTTGAACTCCATCCATGGTTCCCAAGGCAGCATCTGACGCACCTGAGCACGCTCTTCACAAAATGTCCGCATTTTTGTTCGGAATTCATTCACCTCATGGTTCTTTTGGGAGTCAAATTCATGATGACCTGTGGAGAAGGTTTTATGCCATTTTGAACAAAGCCAGAACAGTAAAACTACACGGTCAACATTCAATACGAAAATACTACCAATAATAAAACTCTCCGAGATACAAAAAATGGGTCTGTTCTAATAATGTTGTAGATAAATTAGCAGGGAAGAACAATGCTAAAAGCGAGTAATAAAATCCAATGAATCATATAATCATGCGTTTTTAAGCCAGCAAAATAAAAAGACTTAAATTGACTTTTAAAAGAGAGAAGAAAATACCTCCCATATCTTTAGTTGGCCAACATCTAGGGTATTTTTATTTTGGCGCAAATTCATCTAGATGCTAGTCGAATTATGCAGAAGGCAACATGAACAGATTGCGTGACCATCCTCAAAAACCATTAAACCGATTTCAATTTTTCCTTTCTCTTTGGACGAAGTGGTGTCCAGCCCGGGGTCGTCACATGTGGTTGCCGCAAGACCTCCGGATGTTCTTTCGTCAAATCCGCCATGCCTCATTTAAAATGGGTTTTCATGTTTTTGAATCATCGCTACGGCCTGACAGGGCATCATCACAGTATGGTGAGGGGCGTAACATTTCTGTCACACGCTTGAGGTATTCGGCCAATCATAACGCACTAGATAGCTGGCCAATCACAGCACACCTCGCTTTTCAGACCGATGAGCTTTGTAAAAATCTACGTGGTTCAGAAAGGCGGGCATAGAGGAGAAACAATAATGTACAGTATGTGGAAAATAATGTGTTTTTTGAACCTTAAACCGCATAAACACATTTCATTACACCAAATACACAAAATAATGTTGTTTTTAGCAACATCATATGACCCCTTTAACAAAACTAGCCAAGGTAATAAAAAAGGGGAAATGATCAAAGACCAAGAGACATTTAGAAACCAGACTTTCCGAATCAGGCCGTCATGGTCATAATTTTTTTGTTTAAATAAACAAATTCTTCTTTAGTGCTGAACAGCTGCCAAAACCGTATAATTCTGCTGCAGTGGTGAGTAAATGCTTAGCTGCTTCCATTGTGAGCTGCCCAAACAGCTCTGAGGTCAGCAGACGACTGGTGTGACACAAACCTTTTCCTATAAGTAGACTGATCTGGGTGGTGATGAGCTTCTCGACTCGGTCGCCTTCCCGGGCCACCAGCCTGAGAATTGGCATGAATGGCCGAACATCACACAGGCGGCGCTGCTCGTCTTCCAGCTCCTCCCGCTCTGCGGTCATGTTGATGCAGGTGAAGACGTAGGCGTCCGGGTCACTCAGGGCACTGAACAGAGGCTCATTCCTGGCATTCTTCCACACCATCTAAGGCACAAGCCACAAATCAAGACTTTAATGTGGCCAGTGGGGTTGACTGCAGTTGATTCCTATAATTTTATTGCAGAGAATCTAATACCAATATATGCTGTGTTTTGAATGATATTACCCAGCATACGGTACTGGTAGGCTTCCCTGACTATCTCAACCAGAAAGATTTCCTTAGTTAACCAGCTTCACTAGAAAAACCATGCATTTACTGGTGGCGAACATCCTGCCTATAGTGGTCTACCAGCACCAAAACCAGCACAGAAATAGTCTTCTAAGCAGGGAAGTCTTCAACTTCTCCATCATCAGTAGTGTGACTGATGTTTTACTAAGCATATTGATTGTATTATTGTGTGCTAATTCATCCGTTCAGTCAAGTACTTTTTTTTTTATTGAGAGCCTAGCATTTTGTACAAACAAGTGTACATAAAACAAAACACGTCAGGGGTATAAAGAAAGTAACAAGCGGGGAAAAACTGTATAAAAACTATTTACATCTTAAACAATTGCACTGCTTTCAAGTTTTTACTTGTACTGTAGATATCATTTAATACATTTTAATACCAAATACATTTTTAATGTGTTTTAAATTGTTCAAAAATAGGCATTTTTAAAAACCATCTGACTTTATGAATATAATAACCAGCAAATTTAATAATGAAATCAAAAATATATACTAGATTTTTAATCACCACCAATCAAATACTTTTGTGCATTTAAAATGTCCTGCAATGTATTTAAACAACAGTTTGCTTTTTTTATTATTATTATTATTTGTTATTTTAATTATTACAGATGCAGTTTTATGACCTCATATTAAAACAGTAGTTTTTTTTAACATTGACCTCAGGAACAAATTCAGCCCATTTGGTGTACCTAATAAATTCATTGAAAATATCTCTTTACAAACTAGACTTTGATAATTCTCTCATAAACGAGGAGTGTTAAGATATAATATTAACATATTTTAGTAAATAATGATTTTAATTTTGTTATGCAAGATATTCTAAGACTTCCAAAGTTGTACGGACCTCATTTGTGCTGCTTTTTTGTCCTTTTTAAACTACAATCATGACGCTCATTCCAAACAGTCCATGTTATTTGTCAATTACCCATATCTGCAAATTAGCATGTTTGGTGTTCACATGTGATCAGAGGGTCTCCTCACCTTCTTGATGGTACTAATGGTGTCACTGCGTGCTACGGGAAAGTTGAGGTAGATCCCCGTGGGGAGGAGGAACTCTATGTTGATCTGTTGCCAACCCTCCCTCTCCCACACATCCTGCATGCCGTAGACCCCCGGCGGCATGGTGCAGGAAGCTCATCTACAGCTGACCCCACTGCTGAACACAGATAGATGTTTACGACAGATAAAGTCATACAATATTGAACATGCATGAAGTGTTTACTAGCTGTTACAACCCACTGAACCAATTACAGAGGCAGGGAGTGACCTCAAGACGCTCAATTAATATTCAGCGAGAAGAGAGAGAGCGTGTAATGTATGCTGCATAATAAATTATTATTAAGACACTTTTCTTGTAAATGTGCAGCACATGCTCTTTAAAAATATATCATTCATATTATGATTAACATCACTTTATAATGGCTAGTAGCAATCGAATGCGTAAGAGTAAATAATTTAGAATTTTACTGAATAATTACAGAATACTTGTTTTTATCATCACAAAGACAAAATATTATCATAATATAAACCTCAAGAAGTACAATTAAGACACTGTTAAAAGAGAAAACGTAGAAATATACTCCAAGTTATGTTGCACATGAGCTTTAAAATTATTATAGAATTATTTTAATTACTATTTTTTAATATAGAATATATTTATTTTTTAACGCGCTAAAGATTTAACATTCAGAATGTCCTATGCAGCGTGCTCATACTTCTTCTCTTCTCAAAATATATATTTTATTTTATACAATATTTGTATGCAATATAACATTGCACAATGGTTTGTATCAACCCAGTGACCTGCTAAAAAAATGAAAGCTGTGCATACTAGGGTGTATAATAAATACAGTCAAAACAATCAATCACTTGTATAGGCAGACAGGTCATTGAATTGCATACATTTGTTTATATGCACACTACAATAGTTATACTTTACATTATCAATGAAAAAATTACAACTGGAAAATCTATTTAAAGAAGATTTCAATTGCAATTGATCATGAACAGAAGTATGGTGTTCCTGACATGAGATTTTTGCATTATATCATATTAATCAATATCTAATATCATATACGCTATGCATGTGCTATACAATATTTGTATGCAATATAACATTGCACAATGGTTTGTATCCACCCAGTGACCTGCTAAAAAAATGAAAGCTGTGCATACTAGGGTGTATAATAAATACAGTCAAAACAATCAATCACTTGTATAGGCAGACAGGTCATTGAATTGCATACATTTGTTTATATGCACACTACAATAGTTATACTTTACATTATCAATGAAAAAATGACAACTGGAAAATCTATTTAAAGAAGATTTCAATTGCAATTGATCATGAACAGAAGTATGGTGTTCCTGACATGAGATTTTTGCATTATATCATATTAATCAATATCTAATATCATATACGCTATGCATGTGTCTGAAGCACACACTGCAGCTCTGTGATTAATTGTCGGACTGTCTAGGGTTACAAAGCCGGCCGGAGGGCCAATATCCGAGAAACGTGGCGCACATCATCTCACATCAACATAGCAATTTCACATATGTTATATTATATTTTAAACTATGCGTCTGTCGAAAATATATGATGTATATAAAGTCGTAGCGATTAAAAATAGCACATTATTTATGATGCATTTTTAAAATGGCAGGTGTCAACACATTTTTGCCTAAGCCACCATGAATAAACCTCTGCTCGTTTCATATTCTCGTGATGGGAAACATGAAACAAAATATGACAATGTGACAGCGCGGACTTACCTTCAAGCCTCACCGGTGGTACATTTCTCCATCTTCAGAATCAGCGATGCTCCTTTACTTTGACACTGAAAATTGATATCTTCCTGGCGCGTGAATGTCGGTCAGCGATCAAGACGCCAGTATTTGAATGGTCTGAAATGACAGCAGAAGTGTTAATAATCCTTTAGTGATTGGAGGTGTTAAAGTGGCCGTCTGCACTGCGCGTTCAGCACCGCGTTCCTAACTCGTAGGGATCATCGACATAGTTGTCTCTCTCTCTTCCTCTTTCTCGCGCTCACTTGCTTCCTCCTCCTTTCTCTCTCTCTCTCTTTCGTTCTCTCCCTTGTTGTCATTCATGCACGGCATATAATGCTGACAATAAAAATGTCTGCGTGTCATGAAATCCTTCATTCAGAGAGAAATGGATTGAATATGTTTGGAGAACACGTTACAGTATAACATCACAGATGTTTGATGTTTTACGACCTTAAAGTAACTGGCACCATTTTATCCATTACATAAAGATGTTATGATTTTAACTTTCAAACATACGTAATAAATGTTTGCACTTTTCAGAACGGTTCGAGACAATATTAACGGTCCCTAACTCTTCCTCAGCACATCACCGTCTGGCTTCCTCTGCTTCGGAGGTCTGTTTCCACGCGTGCGACATGCTGCGTTCATTTGAAAACAAACAGTCTCTGTGATTACTTAACTCTCCTCAATCATGTTTATGCATTATGAGCTATAACTTCGCAGAAATAAATAAAATATAATCCATTATGTGGCTTTTGGTGCATCCGAGTGACTCTAATCTTTTGAATCTGATCCAATTAAAGCTTGTTATGGCTGAGTCGCTGAATCATTCACTCAACCGATTCGCCAAAGACGCCAAGTCGGTCACGTTTCAATTAACTTGAATAGCGTATGGTGCTTTTCTACCATTATAGTTCCTCAGCCGCTTTCTCTAATTGTTGTGAATGAGACTGACAAATTACCATTTTCGTTCAGGCGCTGTAAACATCCTCATACGAGCTCTGGTTCAAGGCCGAGTCTTGTTTAGACGACTGGTTCACTCTAGGGGGCGTATTCGTTAATAAGTACAACCAATGAAATGCTCCGTTAAAGCCCTACTCGAATGCTATTGGCTCATGTTATAGTCAGTCTTCGAAGGTGGGCGGTGTCACGCTAGAATTCTTCTCTTATAAAACTTAAAGCTGTACAAAGGAGTCGATTAAATTATAGGTTAAAAAAAAAAAACATCGATTAGTTCACAACGAAACTGTAGTTTAGAGCATGTTTGCTACTATTATCCGACACCAGATATCACGTGCTACCTGTAAGCGTAAATACTGTACATAACAGGCTGAATTACTGAACTTATTATTTCCTCATTTTTAAATAAAACCGGTCAGACGTGTCTTCCTGTGAGAGAGTAAGGAAGCTCTAATTCCGCATGCCACTGACAGCGAATAACGATTATGGGTCCATGGGGAAGTCTCTTAAAACCACCAGTCATTCAGTCAAATAAATCTGTCTGCTTTCAGCAAGGAGACGTCTAGTAAAAGGCTATTATTTTATTCCTGACAACAAACTATAAAGCTTTGCAATGCATTTATATATATATAAAAAAATACATATCCTGTAATCCACATAGAGCACAATCTCTGGCCCATTTATGAAAACACCATTGAATCCAAGACCTGGAACTGCATGTAATTAGTCACATGCTGTTTAATCATCTGCATAGAAATGTATAGGTCTTCTTTTCAGCCATCTGAAAGACTATAGTGGTGTTGTGATGATAACAAGCTTTTAAAATGCACTGCACCATTGAAAGCTCGCAGCTTGTGAAAACAGGAAGTGTATGTGCAGAACAGAAACTCAGAGTGAAATAAAGCCAAAGACCCCTGTGCCCACATCCGCCCACCTTCACCCCCTGTCCACAAGTCACTGCAGGCCAAAGTGCACTATGCTGCCAGACAGCTGATCACTGCAGGGAAGTTACTGGAGGTGATTGGGAAAACCAAACACATGCAATGTCATTACAGCCCCTGAAATAATCAAATCAAGCTGTAGAAAGAGGCCTCGGATGCCTTTAAGGGAAATGATGGATGGACATACAGCCCTGCATCTGAGACCATGGTCTAAAATTCATATTACACTTACAATGCATCAAACGCTTCTTTAAAATTTAACTGTTAAAGTAAGTCTTTCCTCACCATGGCAACAGTTTCAAAGCCTCGTGTAGCCTTGGGATTACTCCATCTTTCTTTACAAATGATCTCTTGTTTGTTCATCCAGCAGCTTGTATTTGAATATGGGCTGGTTTTTATGTTAAGATAAAACTATATTATATTTCTCTGTTCAAAGGCACTTTAGGACAGGGAATGACAAGTTTAAGCTGTAGTGAGTGTTTTGCTCATCACATGTCTAACCTAAATTGAGGTCAGTGGACTAAGATTTGCACTATCACAAGGAATAGACACATCTCATGTCAACTATTACAATAGCTCATGCCTTTTTCTGTAAATCCAATAAATGGATTCACAGAAACATGTTAGGAGAAGGTGGCCACCACATATCAATATATATTTACATTTTGTATATAATGAAATATGTTCAGATTAATTATATAAGCGGTCAATCAACATAGTCTGTCTATATATATAAAAAAAATACTATAACATCTTTTTACAGATAATAGGTCAAAAGGCCACAAGGGGGAGGCATTTAGCTACACAGTGTACTATGGAGTTAGAATTACACAACCATGATCTTGCTCCATATTTTGGAATAATCATCTCATAATTTTAATCACCATTATTCATGAATGTTCATTATAATTAAGTATTTGCACTGCACTTAGCATTTACAGACACTGGATAGATTAGATATTGAAGCAGTGATTTTCGTGTCATTTTGTGCATTTTTCAAATAAAACAATTGGCAATCAGCAATACTTATATACAGTGGGGAAAAAAAGTATTTAGTCAGCCACCAATTGTGCAAGTTCTCCCACTTAAAAAGATGAGAGAGGCCTGTAATTTTCATCATAGGTATACCTCAACTATGAGAGACAAAATGAGAAAAAAAAGAAGTTACAGGTCTGTGAGAGCCAGAAATCTTGCTTGTTTGTAGGTGACCAAATACTTATTTTACCGAGGAATTTACCAATTAATTCTTTAAAAATCCTACAATGTGATTTTCTGGATTTTTTTTCTCATTTTGTCTCTCATAGTTGAGGTATACTTATGATGAAAATTACAGGCCTCTCTCATCTTTTTAAGTGGGAGAACTTGCACAATTGGTGGCTGACTAAATACTTTTTTGCCCCACTGTACAAATATGTGTTTTTAAAAAATATTTGTAATTTTATTTTAATATTATTATTTCTTTAAGTTTGATCAAATGCAATTGGCCTAGTAATATATAATAAATAGTCAAATAAATGAGACTTGTATGACTAGTTATCAGAATTTTATCAGAGAAAAATTCGAACAGGTTATGAACACTTACATATAAAAAAAATATTTTCAAACTCCAGAAATGCAGACACTGAACATGTCTATTCAATATACAAAATATTTTTTAAAGAAAATACACCTTTGCATATATAAAGAACTCTTGTAAACAACTTGTGCAAAGAGTTTCCACTAAATAAAATATTCGTCAAACATTTTTAAACGGCATGCACACCGTACATTCATTTTAAGATCCTTAATTCTATCTCAATACATGGTAAAAAATAAATATGCTTATGTAGGCTATCTTGATGCTTTTTAAACATTTGCTGAAATGTATGCCAAATGACAACTTGCCAACAACCAAGTGCGTTTTGGACAGCTCTTCCTCTCTTGACTTTTAATTGAACAATAGTTTAACAATGTAACAATATTTCATTCGTGAAAATCCACAAAACACAACTGTAAACCCATTAGTTATACAGCAAACAAACTAATGCAGCGAATGCAACATTTCGACCTCATTTCAACCAGCCAATCTGACTTGAAACGGCACGTTTAACATTTCCAAAGGTTAACGTAACAAAAACAGCAAATCTAGATCCAAATGAATTTTTTAGCCTACTTATATTCAGTTTTCACGTGTCTGTCCGTCAGTCAAACGGATGATGCACCTGTTCGGGAAGGCCGTTGTGCGGCGGGTAGCTGCAGGCGGAGATGGAGCTTCCGCCCGGGCTCACCGGAGGAGTCATGCCGCTCAGAGGCACCAGAGCGTTCGGATGCCGGTGGTACGGTCTGTAGGACGGGTGAAGGTGATGGTGTTGACCGTAGTAATAACTCACGGGAGAGTTGGCGTAATCGTTTGGAGACAGAGGGCGCGCGTTACCAAGCATGGGCTGCAGGTAGCTGGAGATGTGCGTCGGAGAGCTGGACTGGTGGCTCCAGGGGCTGGTGCTGACGAACGGGCTTTGCCAGTAAACGGGCTCCTGTTGCAGGCAGTACGAGTCGGTGAAGTTAAATCCAGACGGTAAGGGTGGTGGTCGGTAGGGTCTCTTGACGCGCCTCCTGCGCCTATAATTACCCTTCTCAAACATATCGCTAAAAGCTGGGTCTAGCGTCCAGAAGTTCCCCTTCCTCTCCCCGCCGCTCTCTCGGGGAATCTTCACGAAGCACTCGTTGAGGCTCAGATTGTGCCTGATGCTGTTCTGCCATCCCTTTTTGTTCTTCTCGTAGTATGGAAACTTGGATATGATGAAGCTGTAGATGTCATTCAGGGTCAGCTTCTTCTCCTCGCTTTCTCTGATGGCCATTGCAATGAGAGCCACGTACGAATAAGGAGGCTTTTCTGGTGCTGGAGCGGCTCCTCCATCCCCCGCGGCACCCTGGCCGTCCTCTGCGGTGTCGCGGGATCGCAGGTTATCAGACCCCGCGCTGCGATCCATGAGATGGGCTTGGGCTGGATGAATGAAAAGGCGAGATTCTCCGCAGCGAACAGCACAGGTGTAAAGTTAAAAGTGTCCAGGTGTGCTTCGGATTTGCTTTAGTCTCCACCTACCTGCCCTGCCTCCTGTTGGTATCCTGAAATAGAGGTCAAAAGTTCGCGAATTCAACATGAAAGAGGCGCGCGGGGGTCGCAGACGTATTTTGACTGCTTGGTAAATGTTACAGTAAACATCTGTTTGATGTCGCCGGCATTAAAAAACACGTGCTAACCGCGTTAAGCCAACGTTAATAAAATACGAATAATAGGTTTTCTTTTTATTCGTATTATGTTGAGAATTGATTGTGCAACTGAATTTAAAATATTTGATTAAATATTAAAAACTGCAGGCTAAAGTTTGCAATGTCAAAAAGCATTGCAAATCATTCTGTCCTTTATCGTATTTTAAAAGGTTTGTGCGCACCTTTTTAATCCGCAGGCCTAAATAATCATGATATAGGCTAAATAATATTAGACACATATATAACATTTAAACACATTTAACTAACTAACGCATTTGGGGATTTTGTGGACTGCGCATGTTTCAAGAACAAAGAGCATCTGATTTGTAAACTTCATCCTCTGCACAGTCTTCCCGCAACTGCTCCGTCCAATCAAACAGAAGAAACGTGCCATCAAAGGTGCCGCCTTGTTAAGACCTTATTTGATGAGGCTGTATTCTCAACATAATATACGTCTATATGCAAAACATAGCCTATTTTATAACTTTATATTTGTTGATGTGAAATTATGATTTTTTTTCTTGAAATGTGGGCTGTAAAAGGCTATTTAAAAAGTTAACAATTAGGCTTTTTAAAAAAGTATTTTAAATTCTTTAAAAAAAAAGTATTTAATTTTCTTTTGATAGTGATTGGACTGGAATTAATTATCTGAAATTATAGCAATATTTAGGCTGAAAATGAAAGTCTTTTGGATTCAAGTTGTGTGAATTTGGCTTTAAGATTGACTTGCATAATGAGCTTAAAATGAGCCAGAATTGCTATAATTTTGGTAACACTTTATAGTAAAGTTCATTAGTTAAGGTTAGTTAATGCATACATGAAAATCGACTGATAATTAGCAATACATTTATTACAATATTTATTATTTTTTAATGTCAGTTCATTGTTAGTTCATATTAGCTCAGGTTCATTAAATAATATTAACAGATACAACTTTGGTTTAATGTATATATGTATATAATATAACTAAGATTAATACATGCTTTATCAGTATTTTTTTTTAGAATTGTTCATTCATGCATAGTTATTTATTGCTATATATAACTAATAACTAATGTTAACAAATGGAACCAGTAGAGTGTTACCTATCATTTTAATAACTGCAGTGTGAATTGTTCTGCATATTGTCATTGAATGAATCTTGAGCTCAGAGACATTGTTTTCAATAAATAAACAAATAAATACTGTTTGGGAAATTGTTAATGTTTATATCAGCATTTTTGAACATTATTCTCAACAGGTTTGATCAACTAAAATTAAAAATTTAATTCTCTAATGAACCTTCTCTTTTGTACGTTAAGTGCAAAAATATTTTTTTCTAAAAATGTATTTATGCTATTTATTTCAAAATCGCAGTAATATCAGTGATTTATGGAATGTGCAGTATATACAGTATAAATGACCACAGGTTGTAATGTCCTTAGTCTGAATGTGTCTTACAATAACATAAAACATTCTTACAGCAAGATGCATGTATTAACTTGCCTCTTTTTTTTTTGTGGGAATTTCCCACTCTGACAGTTTCATCTTTATATGCATCGACAAATACATTGCTAACTACAGAGCCTCAGATCTTCAGTTACCTCTGTTAAAGGCAGCATTCATTAGAGTAAATACATCAGAAATCCATCTTCTAAACCATTTGCAAAACACATTAATGGCTTGTAATTCAAATGAATTTGTATTGTTCTTTATTTTTTATACCACTCCGAGCTGTATAATGTCCTATACTGAGAGAATCCAGATTGTTATCATTCTTTCAGGAGACAGACTGTCTTCACCCAGCCAGTGATGGAGAAAGATAAACTCTGGTACTCTGGAGTACTTTTTATTATTGACTTTCAGTTCCCATTGTATATTTTTCCTTACACTTTTTGAAAATGTAAATGATTGCATCGTTCTCTAACACAATTCAAAAGGGCAACATGCAAGAACAACTGAATGTTTCAAATACATCATGATATGGGAACTGCAACACAAAATAAGATCAAGGAAAAACCTTCACAACTACCTTCACTATTGACCTGTTCAGTGAGCAACTGACTTTACAAATACGTGCTCCGAATTTCTGAATGATGAAAGAGAAAGTTTTAAATTTACATTTACGCATTAAGTAGACACTTAAGCGACTTACAAAACAGGAGCATAAGAAATTCGTCAAGGAGCCAACAATATTTGTAATATACAATGCCAGAGATTAGGAAGCAATCTAGAGAAAAGGAGAAATTCAGAGAAGATATTTCATTATTATTTTTTTAACATGAGTGTGAAAAAATACAGAAGACACCAAAACCAATGTATAACTATTACAATGGAGATTTATTTCAATCTGGTAATTGAAACACCTTTATTTTATGTGCAAAATATTCAATTATCCTGTTTTCCCTTGACATTATGAGTTAAATCATAAAACAGTCAAGAGGCTCAATGGACACAGTAACAGACATTTGCTACACCAAATCTTTCAGTGTCACATTGTTAACAAAAGTAGATCAACACAAACATATTGCACTTTATAATATCACATCATTACGATAATGACATGACATGGAATTCTTCTTTCAGGATGTAGGATAAACAGAAACACTTAAATGTACAGCAATATGGCAAAGACGTCAAATAGATTTTTTATAAAGATGCAACACATGCCCAACAGACATCATTCTGTTAAACTAAACAGCACAAGCATTCAGTCTGAAACACATCCAGTGTTTAAAAACACAAAAAATGATTGAACATGCACAAAAACATGTTTCACAAAGCTCACATCATACTTTGCGGCATAATGTAGAATCTCAGCTGTATTTAACAGAGCTCAAGTTAAGAGGATACGGTCTTCTCATTTATTTGAGAATTCCTTTGTTCTCCATTATTATATCCACAATTGTTGAGCAGCAAGAATAAAGTTGTAGTCGTCACCCAAGGGAAATGCTATCCATGTGTTTCCGTGATATAGATTTACTGAGCACGAAGGTGACCAGTGTACATCCCAGTTTGACCTTGAACCCCTGAGGTCTTTTCTATATAACACATTTCATTACACCAAATACACAAAATAATGTTCTTTTTAGCAGCATCATATGACCCCTTTAAAGTAATAGTTCATCGAAAAATTACATTTCTGTTATTTACTCAGTTTGCTCCAAAATGTGACTTAAAAAAAGTTCTACACTGATAGTTCATATTGATCTGTATAATATCTGATATGAGAGCTGATATGGAGGGCATTATCAGTGAATAATGTTCTTTGCACAGCTTCAAACACTTTTGGAGTTTGATAGCCTGTGGTCAATATATGTCACTGGACAGAGAAAAATTGTTCCACTGAAAAAATAACAGCATACAGCTTTGGAACAGCATGACGGTGAGTAAATAATGACACATTTTATTTATAGGTTCACCATTCTTTTAAATTCAAAGAATAAAATAAAAGAATGTAAATTAGTCACTTCCTGTAACTGGAAACTCATCAGCAGTGGGAAAATCCCTGTAGCATGCAGGTAGCTGGAGATACTGAACAGACTATTTCTCAATCACACTTCGCAGTTTTCTTTGGCAGTTGGCAAAATTCCCCTGCTAGGTGCGGCACCGTCTGGGGTGAAGAGTGAGCTGAGTTCCTTGTACCATGCATTCAGTCAGTCAGTGACCCACATCTTTCCCATCATGCACTTCTGCATTGGTTCCACAAAACAGCACCTGGGGCCTCTCAGCTCTCACTATAGCAGCACATCTCACTTCTTCACAAACAAAGTGAAGGTTTTTCTACATTATATGACTATTACAACTGTTACAAAAAGCCAAATTCATTGCACAGTCTATTAAGTTTTATTGCAATATTTATGTAATTATAATTAGTTTTATTTAAAATATTTTTCATATTTATATATCAGCAGGTTATATGCATGGTTAAAAAAAGTTTATTTGATTAAATATACAGAAAAACAGTAATGTTGTAAAATATTGTAAAATTACAGATTAAATCAAATGTTTTCTATTTTAATACATCTTAAAATGTAATTATTTCTGTGATGGCAAAGCTGAATTTTCAGTAGCCATTACTCCAGTCTTCAGTGTCACCTTTAGAAATTATACTAATATGCTGATTTGGTGCTCAGTTATTATCAATTATTACTGGAGGTTAATTTTTAATAACAGTTATTATTATCAATGTTGAAAACTGCCCACTATTTTTTGTGGAAACCACAATACAATTCTCAGGATTTTTTGATGAATAGAACGTTCAAAAGAACAGCATTTATTTGAAATAGAAATCTTTTATAACATCATAAATGTATTCACTTCTATGATCAATTTTATTTGTCCTTGCTGAATAAAACTTGTTTTTTAAAGCTTACTTGCCCCAAAGTTTTGAATGGTAGTTTATCACAGTTTCCACACAAATGTTAAGTAGCAAAAACTGGTTTTAACATTGATAATAATAAGAAATATTTCTTAAGCAGCAAATCAGCATATTAGAATGATTTATCTATCTTATGCTTTACCTGCTCGTGCGAGGGAGGGGATAGTTCCCAGAGAGAGGGCCCTGTTGAGTCTCCCAGGCAGCGAGGAGGGCGAGGCTTTGCGCATTCTGTGGCTTTGCTGGCGGATGAGCAGCTGTGACAGGTTGGGGGGAGGAGTTGGGATGAAGGCAGAGGATGCAGACACAGGTGCAGACAGCGAGGGACAGTGATTACTGTAGTACGGCCCAGGAGAACTGCCAGACAGATACCTGCAACAGACAGAAGAGAATCAGTCCACTGCTGAGTTTCATGGAGCAAATATCTCTTCAGTTACTGCTATGGAGGAGAACTGCAGAAAACTCTGCAGACTTCCACAGAATTCAAAAGCCTGATTATGGCTCCTCATTTGATGAATGTAGTTGATTTCAGTGTTGTAAAGATTTAATTTCAGACAATAGATAATAAAGAATTTAAGCTAGCATATCTGTAAATGTATGAAATTATACATTAGTAATAGCTCAGTTGATATCCACTTGCTCAGTTCAAACATTTGATGCGGTTACGCTAATTTCCTGGTTACGTTTCTCTAATTTATAAAAGCACAAGCTTCAATCTCAAACAACCTTTTAAAAAAATGGCAAACACACAGTTCGCATTTTATCAGCGTTTTATTTCACTTTCATAATAGGGTTAAATAATACAAGTAGTGTAATACAGCTCCAGCATGCTGCTTTACTCAAAATACAACATTATTACAACAAATCTGAGCTTACGTTTCTGGACGGAAACCGTTTCACACTATTCAACAATGCAGTTGCTCATTTCACGTTATATCGGCACCGTCTGGGGTGAAGAGTGAGCTGAGTTCCTTGTACCATGCATTCAGTCAGTCAGTGACCCACATCTTTCCCATCATGCACTTCTGCATTGGTTCCACAAAACAGCACCTGGGGCCTCTCAGCTCTCACTATAGCAGCACATCTCACTTCTTCACAAACAAAGTGAAGGTTTTTCTACATTATATGACTATTACAACTGTTACAAAAAGCCAAATTCATTGCACAGTCTATTAAGTTTTATTGCAATATTTATGTAATTATAATTAGTTTTATTTAAAATATTTTTCATATTTATATATCAGCAGGTTATATGCATGGTTAAAAAAAGTTTATTTGATTAAATATACAGAAAAACAGTAATGTTGTAAAATATTGTAAAATTACAGATTAAATCAAATGTTTTCTATTTTAATACATCTTAAAATGTAATTATTTCTGTGATGGCAAAGCTGAATTTTCAGTAGCCATTACTCCAGTCTTCAGTGTCACCTTTAGAAATTATACTAATATGCTGATTTGGTGCTCAGTTATTATCAATTATTACTGGAGGTTAATTTTTAATAACAGTTATTATTATCAATGTTGAAAACTGCCCACTATTTTTTGTGGAAACCACAATACAATTCTCAGGATTTTTTGATGAATAGAACGTTCAAAAGAACAGCATTTATTTGAAATAGAAATCTTTTATAACATCATAAATGTATTCACTTCTATGATCAATTTTATTTGTCCTTGCTGAATAAAACTTGTTTTTTAAAGCTTACTTGCCCCAAAGTTTTGAATGGTAGTTTATCACAGTTTCCACACAAATGTTAAGTAGCAAAAACTGGTTTTAACATTGATAATAATAAGAAATATTTCTTAAGCAGCAAATCAGCATATTAGAATGATTTATCTATCTTATGCTTTACCTGCTCGTGCGAGGGAGGGGATAGTTCCCAGAGAGAGGGCCCTGTTGAGTCTCCCAGGCAGCGAGGAGGGCGAGGCTTTGCGCATTCTGTGGCTTTGCTGGCGGATGAGCAGCTGTGACAGGTTGGGGGGAGGAGTTGGGATGAAGGCAGAGGATGCAGACACAGGTGCAGACAGCGAGGGACAGTGATTACTGTAGTACGGCCCAGGAGAACTGCCAGACAGATACCTGCAACAGACAGAAGAGAATCAGTCCACTGCTGAGTTTCATGGAGCAAATATCTCTTCAGTTACTGCTATGGAGGAGAACTGCAGAAAACTCTGCAGACTTCCACAGAATTCAAAAGCCTGATTATGGCTCCTCATTTGATGAATGTAGTTGATTTCAGTGTTGTAAAGATTTAATTTCAGACAATAGATAATAAAGAATTTAAGCTAGCATATCTGTAAATGTATGAAATTATACATTAGTAATAGCTCAGTTGATATCCACTTGCTCAGTTCAAACATTTGATGTGGTTACGCTAATTTCCTGGTTACGTTTCTCTAATTTATAAAAGCACAACAAGCTTCAATCTCAAACAACCTTTTAAAAAAATGGCAAACACACAGTTCGCATTTTATCAGCGTTTTATTTCACTTTCATAATAGGGTTAAATAATACAAGTAGTGTAATACAGCTCCAGCATGCTGCTTTACTCAAAATACAACATTATTACAACAAATCTGAGCTTACGTTTCTGGACGGAAACCGTTTCACACTATTCAACAATGCAGTTGCTCATTTCACGTTATATCTTTGGGGTCATTCCATGTCAAAATCACCAGAAACCACTGATCAGGTATTGATGATATACCAGAAAAAGCACAGCAATGCCACAAACTGATTATTTCAGTTGAAGGTTTCTCAAAGTCAGACAACTATTTCCAGCCTGTGGGCAAAAAAATATTAAAAAGCTCCAAACAGATTTTTAGATTTGTAATGGTCAGAGGCCACAAAACATTCAGATGCATTTGAGATTCTAGTTTATTGTTTTATGGTAATTGAACTTCTTGTAAGACCTAAACTGGTCCCAATCAAAGTCTTAACTTGGTAAGAAACTGGATTTGACAAGATGCCGTACCAATCTCGAAATTGGCAATATTCCTTAAACCCAATGACTTTCCTTCCAATCAATCTCTGATATCATGCACCTTGATACAACATGCACAGATCTGTGATTTCATGTTGATAGATCCTACCACATTATATCCTCCGTGCTAAATTCAGTTTTACTTATTTACTCACATTTGAAATCATATGAAAATTGGGGAGGCAGCATACTTCCAGACAATCTAAACTAGTCTAAAAGAATGAAGTAGTCAATAAAGGATCAAGTATACTCACAAAAATACAATGCTGTTTTAAATAAATGTTATACATCATAAATAGATACTTGTTTCAATGCCAAGCCTAAATGCACACTATTATTTGGATTTACCAACCATCAGGCTTTGGCAAACAAAACTACGATAATGAGGATACTAAATATTCAACGATACTGAAGTCTACAGTTAAATACTCAAATAAGTGAAATATGCCACAAGTCATCATAAAAAAAGTTAATGAAACTTTACATTAGGCATGTTTCACCTTTTGGTAATACAAAATTATAAATATTAAGGTGGACAGGTACCATAAGATCTGTATAAGTTGATACACATCTAATGGAAATGAACAATTGATTTAAATAACAGAACAGTTGCAGACAGTAAGTGTCTAAGTCACATTAGTACTTTGATCACAGCAAAAAACTAACTTCACAGCATATGCCACATGCATACAGTAACTTGGGAAATACAGTGATGCAAACCTACAAAAACATACAATCTACAGTCATACTGTCACAAGTTTCTAGACCACAGCCAAAATACAATGCTTATAAATATTAAGGTGGACAGGTACCATAAGATCTGTATAAGTTGATACACATCTAATGGAAATGAACAATTGATTTAAATAACAGAACAGTTGCAGACAGTAAGTGTCTAAGTCACATTAGTACTTTGATCACAGCAAAAAACTAACTTCACAGCATATGCCACATGCATACAGTAACTTGGGAAATACAGTGATGCAAACCTACAAAAACATACAATCTACAGTCATACTGTCACAACGTCACACGTTTCTAGACCACAGCCAAAATACAATGTTTAGTTTTCCATACAATCCCTACAAAGCTTTATTTGTAGAAGTTTTGAAAATGTGTCTCTTTTTGTTAGACACTTGAAAGAGATGGCTATGTGTTATAGAGATTTAGTGTGGTTAGTAGTATTCAAACTAAATGGCATGTAATACAATGTAGTGCACCTATAACACTTTACAATATAGTAAATATAATGTTCATAATATTTTAAGTATAGTGCTATGCAAAGTTAGCTAATTTTCTGAAAAATTGCATAATTTCTGTACTGAGGTAACGATGATAAAATCAACCCGGTGGTGGAGACAGACTTGAAATTCAAGTTAATTAAGAATCAAAACCAAGAGACAAATATTTTGAGACTCTCTCAAATGTGCTCAGCTGTAGCTTAACCTCAAAAGTGAACGCGGAGTACTTGAGCTAAAATATAGCACAAGTCTAACATATCTGTATGTTGCTACTAGCAACTAAATACTGATAATATAACTTTTGTTATGAGATTGCAAATATGAGATCAGAGCAGTATTGGCATAATACAGAATTTTTGTTACAGTTAAATATAGTGGGTATAGTTTTAGGCGGTTTAAGTTGCACATGTTGTGTAAATTTTAAGCTTAAATTCAATGATGGAAAAAAATATCCCCAAATCCCTAAGCACCATTGCAATTTCTTGTTGAACAATGCATTTTCTATTTCAATGCAAAAACATCATTATACACCGCAAGATGCATAAAAAAATTATTCACTCATGAACTAGTCTGTATTTTTACAAGCTACCCCAAACCTGTGAATTCAACCTGCACCAAAACAAAGGTAAAATTGACATGTTCTGCCTTGTCAAATTAGGGGCATGGTGGTAATGTCAAGCACTAAAAAAAGACCATAAACAATCCTTTTCTAGTACTTTGAGCAAGCTCATCCACACAGACTACTTTTTTTATATATATATCAGCATGGTGTTTAAAAGGCCTATTTAGCAACATCTTGGCCATGGAGGTTTATAACGAGTGCATTAGTTAGTTAGTGTAAATTGAATACATTTGGGAGGAAAATGTTCTGAAAAAAAAAAATCAAAATCAAACTCTTGATTCTACATGTACCAAAATTGTCCTCGATTACAGATCCCATAAAATATCTTATCTTAGTGTCACTGCTCAGATTCTGACCTGCGACCTCTGGCTCTTCTCTGACTCATGGATTTGCGTGTTGCCACAGCGGCAGCGAATCCCACCAGACAACACACAGAAGTGATGCCCAACTTGACCGTTTCCAACCAATCAGGGATGTCCGTCTTGAGGTAACACTCGGCCAGGTAAAAACATATTACCAGGAGCCAAAGCACAGAGGACACAGCGTCAATTCTCCTCAACCTTGAGGAGAAGAGAAATATATTTAATTTATAATTAAAATAAATTTACATATACGTATACATTCACTTATATAGTAATTACAAATATATTTATCCTATATATATATATATATATATATAAAACATTTTTATAAATATATTTATTAATTTTTAAATGTACAATTTATATATCTCTCTATGTACACACCCTTATTCATGCAATAATATAATAGATAATAAATATTTGTATGTATAAAAATATACACATACATTTATTCATACATTAATTAGAAAATATATTGATCTATTTCACATTCTGAAATATGTTTACATAAAATGTAAAATTAATGTAAAAATACGTACAATTTGGTAAATGTATTTTTTCATGAAATAAATTAGGTATAATTTAATTGGTTCACCTGACAGGTCCTGCCATTAAGACACCTGTGATGCAAGTTAGGAGACCAACAGAAGCCACGGCCATCTGATGGTCACTTCCGGACTGCCAGACGAGTCGAGCATTCTCCACAGCCTTTTCCGGCAGAAGACCCACCAGATCATCCCACATCATGCTGCCCTCCTCAGTCTTGCTTTCACTGTCATTTTGGAGGGGGCGTTTAGGTGGGTTGACTCCTCCGCTTAATATCCGCGAGATGGAGGAGGCCACATCTCCAGATCCAGACAAAGCCACAGCTACAAGGAAGGCACAGGCTAAAAACGCAAGGACTCTGAGTAAGATCAACCAGGCTGGTGTGGCGAGTGAGTAGGTGTTCTGAAGAAAAGGATAAAAAAATTATGAAAGATCACTTGATATGGGAATAGCTTTTGATACTTGCATGCCAAGCTTGATTAAAAACTAAACTTGAATCAACAGTAGCTGCACAATAAAATACTCAGGACACAAAAGAAGCAAGAAAGAACAAGTCTTTTCTTATCTCTAGCAATCAACTCCACACATTTATCAGCGGTTTAAGAAAACACTAGTAACAGACTGGTCATTAATCACACTTGATACATGTAACAAACGATACCTAGGTTGTAGTAAAATTGCAGTTTTATCTAGGCAACATCTAAATTCAATGCAATTTTTCCATGTCAAGCCCTTGGCACTTAATCAATCTCTTAGATTTCTAGAACATACACTTCAGAGTGCTACAAAAGTGGAATCTTCTATATTTTTCATGTCAAGTCTTGTGGCTTATATAGAGATCGCCACCTTAATAAAGGCTTTATCAGCATCCCGACTGCGTCTGAGCTGGTGGTTGAAGAGCAGAGCCCGCAGCTGTCGGTTCTGGTGTTTGATGTAGTACTCCACTGCCGTCTGGCACGGCCGGCACAACTTGTAGGTCTGCTCAAGGTGGTGCTTATATACCTCAATCTCCTCATCATAGTTTTCCTGCCATTATGGTGAACACAGTGCATTCAAATTTGTAAATGCATGTTACTTGTTTTTGAGCTGATGCTTTTCACATTTAAAAAAAAAAAAAGCCTACTGAATGCCATATTTAATCTATGACATTTTGCCTCAAACAATGTATAAAAAGGAAAGGTTGGTCATTAAAAACGAGAAGACATAGATTATTTATTAATATTTTAAATGAAAGCTTTTGTAAAAAAAATATATTTTCCCTGTCTCTTTCGATCAAATTTATGCATCCATGCTGAATAAAAGCATGATTTAAAAAAAAAATCTTACTGACCCCCAACTTTCGAGTGGTAGTTTATAATTATCTACATGTAATTTTTTTTGGTCTTTTTTTACACTACCATTCAAATATTTTTGTGATGGTAAGATTTTTTAAATGTTTTTGAAAGAAGTCTCTTATGCGCACCACAGCTGCATTTATTTGATCAAAAAAATATATACATCAATATTATTAAAATGATTAAAAACGAGAAGACATAGATTATTTATTAATATTTTAAATGAAAGCTTTTGTAAAAAAAAAATATTTTCTCTGTCTCTTTCGATCAAATTTATGCATCCATGCTGAATAAAAGCATGATTTTAAAAAAAAAATCTTACTGACCCCCAACTTTCGAGTGGTAGTTTATAATTATCTACATGTAATTTTTTTTGGTCTTTTCTTTAAATGTATATATTTATACACTACCATTCAAATATTTTTGTGATGGTAAGATTTTTTAAATGTTTTTGAAAGAAGTCTCTTATGCGCACCACAGCTGCATTTATTTGATCAAAAAAATATATACATCAATATTATTAAAATAGTGAAATATTATTGCAATTTGAAATAACGGTTTTCTAATGTAATATATTTTAAAATGTAATTTATTCCTGTAATGACAAAGCTGAATTTGCCATCACTCTAGTCTTCAGTGTCACACGAGCCTTCAGAAATCCTTGTATTATGCTTGTTTTATGCTTTATTAAGATTTCTTATCAATATTGAAAAGTGCTTCTTAATATTTTGTGGAAACAGATTTTTTGAAGTTCAAAAGAACTTTACAGGTGTTTTTAGCAGTTCACCCCATTATGAATAACTGCATGTTGTTGTAATGACTTGTTTTTTTAACTATAAAAACGTTATTTTAACTTTCTCACACACTCCAAGTCCTGTCATAAAAGTGCAGGTCTTAGTGCTAAAGGAGGAAGCAATCTATGTTTATCTTTAGACTTTACCCTGACTGACAGGTAATAACAACCTACCATGTGGATAAGCTATGCAGGAGGCGCAACCCTTGGCAAATGCAGCAGCAACCATGAGGCCCAGAAAATCTGAAGCGCCTTTTTCTGTGTCGGTGTCAGGCGTGGTGAATCGACTCCGCACTAGGTACTTCTTCAGCGTCTCGTAAATAAGGAAGCAGATCATGGTCTCTGAAATGCCAGCGTACGACGCCGTCAGGCCCCGGTAAAAACCTCGCATACCTTCCGTCTTATACACATACCGCGCGCATTGTAACGCATTCATTTTCTTCTCCCCACATGCCCTGGAGGACAAAGACAGTCAGTCAGGTGATCAGGAAGAAATTTCAAGAATGTAGAATTTAACACCATTAACTCAGAGGTAACAGTTCTGCTTTCAAAACCTAGTTTAGGTACTGAATACTAAAATCAAGGTCAAAGACTTTGAAAGGTTCACTTGCAACTTTAATTTGCATTGCACAATGTGGTTTGCGTGTAGAGTGGGAGGGAGAATTAAATGCCAGACTATTTTCAGACTGTACCATCTGACATACTTCTCTCATCTGACTCTAGCAGTTTACTGCTGGCGCTTTTGATAGCGCAAATATAGAACATGCCTGCTAAGCCCCGACGGCTGCGTCAAGGTGGATATTTGCACTGCAGCAGATTGGATCACATGCTAATCATCATGACATTTGCGTAACAGAGAGACAGTGCTAATAGTTTGTACACCCCTCCCCCCCCCACCTTCCCAGAAAACTAATTCCCCTCACGGTATCTGGGGATGCGTTACCCTCACACGCAAAAGGGCCACAACTCAAGGGTCTGATACAGATGTGTCATGCCCTCATGCAAGTTCCCTATTGAGAGTAAAACAGGGTGAAAGTCTACAGCATTAACATACTTCCTCTCAAGCTGCATTCTTGTTTTGACCATCCAGATGGGATTCATCAGGGAGTTTGTGACAAATGCTGTAAAAAAACAAACAAAAAAAAAAACAATTAGCGATTCAAACAACCACTTTCTTTGAAAGCATCAAACAGTTCGGGAGAAATGTTATCTGCAATGTTGCATAAATGTTCTTTTAAAAACCTTAAGGCATCACCTGCAAAGCCAGCCGAGGACATGTGGACAATTCCACTGTTTGGGACAAAGATGCCATTGAAAGTCTCTTTTGATTTTGAATAAGCTGCAAAATAGATCGCCCTGAAGAAGAAAAGAAGGAGAACAGAATATCAGTGCCTTTACTCTGTTGAACTCGACACCCTCTGCTTCCTCTCCACGCACGACAGTGCAGAGTTCATTTTAAAATGAAAAAGGGCTGTTCGCACTGAAAGGCTGCCAATGTTTTATCAAGCCAAACAGCTTGCAGTGAGAGTTCCTGACAGTGCAGTCCGTTCTCTGTGCTGAATGTCTGGAACAAACTGCACAAAGAGCTGAATAAGCACCCAGATCTAATGCCATGATAACTGTGGGAAACAATGACTGCATTTTCACAGAATAAGTACATCCTAGAGGAGTGAAGAAAAAAATTCTAGCTTGCTTATAAGTCATTTTAATTTGAATGTAATTTAGCAAGCTAGCATGAGAAATGTATGGCTATTGTTCCGGAGGAAAAAAAAATTCTCAATAAGAAATAAATTAACAATACTTCTTATTTCTATAAGTATGCATGTATATATGCATGCATAAATAGTAGAGTGGATCATTTATAATCCAACCTTGATTTGGATAAAAAAAAAAAAAAAACAATTGAACCATTACCTTGAAGGTGCAACACCAACAAGATTTGGGCCCAATCCTCTGAATAGAGATTTTGGTCCCTCTTTCTCTAGAATTGACCTGATGAGGACAGAGAGATGAGATTTAGACAGATGTAACACTACTGTGTGGCATTTCAGTCAGACTGCACGAGACCAGTTTATAATCCACCTACACAGCTTGTTCTGAACACTGCAATTATGCTGCACAACTAGTGACACCTTTACACATACCTGTATTCATTTCCTTTATAAGCCACCCATATGAAACAACCCCTCTTTATCAGATAAATACTGAATGTTGACTAATAAATCATGCTTCTCACAAAGTGACTTTCCAGAAGCTCTTTTTGTCATTACAGGTTGATAATACACCACATATCACTTCCATTCAAACATCTACTTCAACACTTTTTCCTTAAAGGGGTCCTATTATGCTTTTTCACTTTTTCAACTTTAATTAGTCTGTAATGTTGCTGTTTGAGCATAAAAAAAAAAAATCTGCTGTGAAGTTACAAAGCTCAAAGTTCACTTCAAAAGGAGATATTTTATTTAACGCTTTTCAAAAACTACAACGAATGACTCATTTGGACTACATAAATAAATGTATCTGAAAGCCTAATGATCTTGAGACATATGCTTCCTTTAAGTTTCCTCGAGGGACATTGGACGTCAAACTCACTTTAGCGTATATATATATAAAACAACTTTTATTAACAAAACAAAAAAATACACCATGCTATAGGGCAGGCTATATAAATATAACAAATAACTTACATAAAGTTTAAATGTACAAAACTAAAACTAAATCATCATATACCATATAAAATAGAAACCGTGATGGCAGATTCATTTCAAGTTGCTGAGTCAGAATTTTATAGCAATGATTTTTCCCTCAGCCTTTTTGTTTTGAGGGGTTTGGCATTACAAATGATTTTGCATAGGGAATTTATTGATTTTGTTGCAGTTACATTAACAATTAATCTCTTTTGGAGATGCTTCATTCAGTGCACAGGCTGTTGCCAAACGACGAGTTAAGAGATAAAATGGTCTGTTTTTTGACAGCACAGAGGGGGCATACATGCTACTTCAATAATTTTACCTAATTAAATAGTAAAAAAAAAAAAAATTCTAAATATAAAAATATTTGAAAACTTGTTTTTTCTACTTTTGAATTTTTTTTTTTTTTTTTTATATAAAAATATATAAATATAACAAATAACTTACATAAACTTTAAATGTACAAAACTAAAACTAAATCATCAGCGATCATCTGGTCTGTCTCACCTCACTCTTCTTGTCAGTCAGCTCGACTCACTCTCCTCACTGGAGAAATTAAATCAGATTTGTGATGCGACTGTCGTTCAACTGCATTGAGCAGCCGCATTCAGTTTTTAAATTGTGGTGTCTGTTCTTTTACTGAACTAAATTATTTTTATTACTATAAAAAAATCTAAACAACGGTGGGGGCAAGTGACGTGGTGGGCAAGTGACGTAACTGGTGTTGCAGCTTAACACCGGTATCACCGTCAGCACCGCCTATCACGGCAAGCCTAGTGCCAATCACAACACACTAGCCCAGCTAACCAATCACAGCACATTTTGTATTTCAGAAGGCGGGCCTTCATTTGATACAGGAACTATTCGAGCCGTTCATGCCAAACTGAGGAGAGAGGTGTTGAAATAATGTAAAATGTGAAAAAGAATGTGTTTTTCGAAAAACCTAGTATGAGAGCCTGTTCTAGCACACCCCCCAAAACAAAATCAAGACTTTGTTAAAAAAAAAAACATAATAGGACCCCTTTAAACTTGAAACTATTAAAAAAAAAAATGAGTCACAAGGTAAATGCTTCCTCATGAAAAAGAAAGGCTAAACATGGTGTCCTTTTTCCAAGATAGATATTGAACAGTTAGACTAAATTGAAATGGCTCTCTTGAAGTTTTGGAAGTCACGTAGACCCGTACACTCCCTCAGAGACGCTTCGTTAGAGACACCTTGTGTTTGCGGCTAGTAACCCGAGCACAGCAAGAAGGCATCATGTGACAGTGCCGGTTCCTGAGAGCAATGCCATGCCCAATTACCCAAAATAGACATTGACAGGGAACACTTGCAATCTCTTTTGCCTTTACATAAGACAAACCCCGCCCCTTATCATCATCAACTGCAGCAGCTAACAGCAGTATGAGAGCTGCTTTAATCTGCTTTCATTTAAAAGATCAAATTCAGTTGCTAAATGCATCCACATAAAAGACTTCAGAAGTCAAGCAGTGCCGCCCGACAGAGGTTCTGGATCTACATTCAGGGTGGATGACGGTCATATTGTTTGTACTTCCTTGCTTACCGTAACACCTGTAGCAAGCCAGGGGTGACGGGTCCCGGTCTAATGACGCCAGCACCGTTGAATGTGCCCAGCTGGACCTGGAAAACAGGTCTGAGGGTGAGGCCAGATGACTGTAGTCTGGTTTTTAACACCTCCAGGGGGCAGGTCATGATGGCACCTACGGTTCCACCACATCTGTGGACAAAATAAATAGTTTTAAGCAGCAACTAAACTCGTCATATGTAACAGGAAAGATCCTTTTGCATAAATGCTGTTCTTCTGAACTTTCTATTCATCAAAGAATCATGACAAAAAAATTAAGTAGCACAATGGTTTCAACATTGATAAAAAGAAAATGTTTCTTCAGCACCAAATCAGCATTTGAGAATCATTTCTGAAGGATCATGTGACACTGGAGACTCAAGTAATGACTGCTAGAAATTTAGCCTTGCCATCACAGGAATAAATTACATTTTAAAATATATTCAAATAGAAAACAGCTATTTTAAATTATTATAATATTTCACAATATTTCTGTTTTTACTGTACTTTTGATCAAATAAATGCAATCTTGGTGAGCAAAATAAATAAATCTTACCAACCCCGAACTATTGAATGATCAATATCAATATTGAGTATCAATATCGATAATATATCTAAAATTACTAAAATAAATGCGGAAGAAATATTGTATAGAACTAATAATAATAAAAAAAAGTTTAAATAATATAAAATTCAAAAGAATTTTGTAACCTAAAAATTGGGCTGTGTCCAAAAAAGGCTGAGGACCTCTAGATTAAATAAACAGACATAAGCTTGCGAGTACAAAATTTGATAAAGGTTGCCGTTACATTTGCTGTTTGAGGTATCATTAAAATCCAGTTCAAACTAAACTTTAGACACAAATATATGTGTGTGCGTCAGCAACGCTTGTGGACAACCTTCCTGGTTGTTTTAAGAGTCAAGAGTATGAGAGTGAGGTCAAGGAAAACAAACTGAACTTCATCAAAATGACACAATGTGACGAAGCTGACAAAATAAAAGGATTAGAGTCCTACACTGGTTTAACCTAATTGGCTCTAAATCAAATCAGAAAACTGAGATGAAGGACATGACTATGTAAACAAATGAAAAATGAAAACAACAAAGCTTAGCTAACTAATGAAGTAGGAAGAATTCAGTCCAACCTGTAAGACATTTTTATAACCAAAGTACATAGCAATTACACTTAATCACCCGTCATGTATCTTGTTTATTTCTAGTGAGACTTGAGGCAAATAAATTGCGAGATCTCAAAATCACAGATCATGTTTCACAGAAGTCAAAACATGTTGATACAGGTCACGGGGTTGTGTTACAGAAGTACAAGACATGTGAAGAACAATGCCTCTGACCTCAGGACAGGAAATAAAGGACAGATTAATCACAAATCTGTCTGAGAAGCACATTCAGTTACAAGGGCAGACATCCTCAACAAAAGCCTTAAGCCCTCCTCTTGACTTACTTCACACAGCTTGCCTTCTCATCTAGCTCGCAGAGCACCAATGGTAATGTCTTTAAAATAGACTGTTTTGTAACACAAACAATGCTTGGGGCATGATTATATAATGCCCATGTTTGAATAAAACAAACACGCAGATGTCTGTGCCCTTCACAACAAGTCACCTGAATCTAACTAATGTTTAATTGAGCTCAAAACCTGAAATTATTAACTTATAACTTCAGTTATATAACTGAAAAATAACTGGCAACATGCAAAACCCGATGTGGTAACATCCTTCTATGCCTATCAAGTTTTCACCATATGGAAACAGCAGGAAAATTACAATTACATTACAGTTTTTTCTGACCTCATTTCTGCCTTCAACAAGTGTATGTATGCATGCATGTATATATATGTTCTGCAAAGCTGCTGCATTTATTTTGACAATAAATTATTACGAGCACTATACAATACATTTTAATCAAATAATGTTTTTTATTAGATCCTAATAAAGAAAAAAAACAAACTAAAAATAATACAAACTAAAATACTTTACGCCATTATTGAATTGTGCAATATTTCGACTTTACAAAATCACTTTATAATTTCACAAATCGTATTAATGGGTTTGTATACATGGAAAAAAAAAGAAAGACTGAATTACTTTCAACCATATTTCAAACACTTATGAAAACGCATGTGAAATCTTAAACTAACAACACGTGCACTTCAAATGTACTTAAAATAAAAAAAAAGCAGACACACGTTCACCTACATTCATTACTCTCTAGTCTAGTACACATGCTTTTGCATTCTTGACAGGAGTATGAAGCTCTCTGTCCTTGAAAGCAGCAAGCACTTCTCCAGCTACATTTTACTAGCATATGGCAATTGAGCAGCCTGCGCAAAGCCAACGCATTGAAATGCGCACAAAACACAGGCGCGTTCTCGAGAAAGTATGACATTCACGAGTGCAAAATGACAGCAATAAATCAATAGTAGTCTTTAAGGAGTAGTAGATAAGTACTGATATCAAATACGGGTCTTACGGAATAACATTGGATGTATTTATGTAAAGCAAGACGCTTCTATTTAAATATACAAAGGTGCAAACTAGCTCTGCGTAGACAATTATTTAGTAATTTCATAAATCAACATTTCACATGCATATGCATACATTTCAATTTTAATAGCAGGCAGCACATGAAGAGCTCGCGAGAGATGAACCTCGTCTCGTCTCTCATGAGTCATAATTACGTAATACAACACACTGCTCTGTCTTTGACAAGCTAGACCTAAATAAAGTTTTTACTCACCAGGCAACATTTTACAACAGTTAATAAAAGTATTATCAACTATCTATACAATAATAAATGTCATTTGAGCACTAAACACGCTCGCGTATCTAATCTAAAACGCTTCGGTCGTGTGACTGGATGCTGCGCTGGCTAGTTTCACCGCTAGCTAAAAGCTAACAAGAGCGGTCTTCATTTGACCTCATATTGAAAATATCACAGAAGAGATATTAATAACAGAAAAACAGTCTTCTCTTCTGAGATGAGTGTGACATTAGACAAGTCGCCGCATTGCGTTTAAAGCTGCTATCGACCTTCCAGTCTGGGGACCGTCATCCTCGGTTTCATATGAATACAAAAGTCATTTCCACTCACCCCCCTGCGAAGAGATGTAACAGCGTGTCTTTCTGCGCCATTTCAAAGAGCCATCGTACCTCACAAAAACATTAGACTTAAAATAAAAACTAAACGTAGTCGCTTAGGCCAGCGGCCTGACGATGCTCGACAACCGGCTTCTTGAGCTTGAGCTTGAGCTTTAAACCCGGATAAATACCCTGGACCCACGTCATAGGGGCTGACCGGGGGTGTCGTCCATGACGTCACGCCATCGGTCTATGCACAAACAAAAGTACAATTAAACTTAACTAGTAAAGTAACGCATTACTTTTTAATTTACAAGAGAATATCTGAGTTACTTTTTCAAATAAGTAATACAAGTTACTTTTTTTCCCAATTTATTGGATTAACAGCTCTCTTGTCGCCATGTTGAGAAAAAAATCGGATGTTACTATAGTTCTAAAATAAATATGCATTAATTCATCTCACTCAAACTTAAACCCCACCCACAGATTCAGTATTCCTCAAAATGAATAAAAATAACGCAACTCAGAATATGACGCAAACCTGCAATAAATAAATGTTAAACACAAATATCCTTTATGTATTTATTCCCATTCTATTGACCAATGTCTTTGCTTCTGACCTTCGATGATCCAGTTCAACCGTACTAATAAGCACAAATTACTCTAGACAAACATGCGTCTTTTTTTATTGCTGAAGTGTGTTGAAATTTCTTCTGCATTCTACTGTACCGACGTACATTTACTTTCCCTTCAGCCTGAGGCTTATTCATTTCACTTTTGGTGTGAAAAGGCTTTTATATTTGCCAAAAATATAATTTTTTTATTTTAAAAACAAACAAGCAAGCCCTGTCCAGATTTGAAGAGTATCGCAAAAGTAACGTAACGCATTACTTTCCATAAAAAGTAACCAAGTAACGTAATTAGTTACTTTTTTATGGAGTAACGCAATATTCTAATGCATTACTTTTAAAAGTAACTTTCCCCAACACTGCTCATGACATAATTACGTAATACAACACACTGCTCTGTCTTTGACAAGCTAGACCTAAATAAAGTTTTTACTCACCAGGCAACATTTTACAACAGTTAATAAAAGTATTATCAACTATCTATACAATAATAAATGTCATTTGAGCACTAAACACGCTCGCGTATCTAATCTAAAACGCTTCGGTCGTGTGACTGGATGCTGCGCTGGCTAGTTTCACCGCTAGCTAAAAGCTAACAAGAGCGGTCTTCATTTGACCTCATATTGAAAATATCACAGAAGAGATATTAATAACAGAAAAACAGTCTTCTCTTCTGAGATGAGTGTGACATTAGACAAGTCGCCGCATTGCGTTTAAAGCTGCTATCGACCTTCCAGTCTGGGGACCGTCATCCTCGGTTTCATATGAATACAAAAGTCATTTCCACTCACCCCCCTGCGAAGAGATGTAACAGCGTGTCTTTCTGCGCCATTTCAAAGAGCCATCGTACCTCACAAAAACATTAGACTTAAAATAAAAACTAAACGTAGTCGCTTAGGCCAGCGGCCTGACGATGCTCGACAACCGGCTTCTTGAGCTTGAGCTTGAGCTTTAAACCCGGATAAATACCCTGGACCCACGTCATAGGGGCTGACCGGGGGTGTCGTCCATGACGTCACGCCATCGGTCTATGCACAAACAAAAGTACAATTAAACTGCTGCAGAATATCAGGTGTGACATTCTGCAACATATAAAAGGTTAAATACGCAATAGTCAATCATTTTTATTGAGTGAATTTATTTAAGCTGTATAGTTCCATATGGTTCTACAGTTCTTTAATCCAAAAATACTTTAAAATGCAAATTTAATCAATCTTTTCCTATATTCTATAGCCTATTTCCTATATTTAATATAATTAATAATATCCTGTATTCGTGAACATGAAACTTGGAGAGTCAACGTACCCTGTGAGTTTTAAACTTTTTGTTTTGATTTGAAATGAATAGCTATTGGGATTTTTATATCTAGAGGTACATGAAGATTAAGTATATTTAGCTATTTAATATCATATGTAACATTTTACAGTGTATTTAACCTAACAGGTTAAATACATAAAAAACACAGTCGATCATTTTTATTTAGTATTTTTTTGCATGAATTTAACTCATTTCTGCAGTGCCACGTGCTTAATTCTTTAATGTAAATATAATTCATTTTTTGCAAATGCAAAATTTATTTTTTCCCCTATAGAGCACCCTAATGCATAATTTGCCAAAATAGACTAACTAAAATGGTGGAGACCCCTGCAGCATATCTGTTGTTAATTGTGGAGTGAATATGATACCATATCTAGCACTCGGGCATGTAAAAAACATAATTGGACAGACAAGCTGCTACGAGCGAAGCAGCCTATGAGAAGAGGGGGTGTGTGAGGGGAGGGAGGTACAAAAATCTAACAGCACACCTATTAATCTGTGTACTGATAAGTGGGTCATTGAGAGTTGTTGACACTGCACTGTGTTTACTAATTATGCTGGATAACCCAAAAAAAGAGAAGAAAAACAAGAAACGTAGCACTATCACCATCTTGTTGAAGATATCCACTGGTTAATAATAAACGCCCCTCAGAAAAACACCTATTGTTTTCATTTTAAGGCTGCAGTAAATATGTATGGTTGACTCGTATAGACATCCTGTAGGACTAGTTATTCCAGATATATTTACCTTGCCTTGCAGATAGTGAAACTATCACCACCACTTCTGCTCTGTTTTTGTTTAACTGCTTTGTTTAAATATTGTTTTTAAAAAAATTTTATTCTGATTGTTCCCAACACATTTAATGTACTAAATTTAAATTCCTAAATATAAGACTTATTAAAAAAATGAGACTTAATTATAGTTACTTTACCGTGTTGACTTCTTCTGTGGGTGTTCCTGGTCACATGCCTTTTTTTGGCTACATGAATCTTAATGACAGACAGTCTTGGCAAAACACTTTACTTACATAACATGACTTGGCAAGTGATATTACTGTCACATATGAATTCTATCTTCTGAAAACCTCAGATGAGACACCATGGATCTAATATTAGCTTAAATTACCTGCATATCTCTCCAAGGGAATATCAAATATAAAATGACTGAGATGTCCTGGGGTTTGATTCTGTTCCAAATTCCGGCTGATTTATGCTACTGAGTTCAGACAGTTCATGACCTTCATGGTCAGAGTTTTGCCTTTTGGATCCACCAAAGCAACACGCAACAGACCGCTTTTATTACATAAGCAGGGTATGTGCAATGGTGCTGCCAGCTAAAGCAATACAGAATATGAATTTCATAGTTATAATGACACAAGTGCCCATATTTATTCAAGACACATGTAATTAAATGGAATGTTCACCGATCTGTTCTTGAATATATTTTAATAAATATTGTATACATCATTTTAAATGCATTGAAATATTGTATAAATAAATGTATTTCTCATATGCCTATTAAGAATGAGAAAATGCTTGCTATTATCAATTAACCTCTCAATTAAATTATTTATTATTATTATTATTATTGTTATTATTTTGGAAAAGATGACACAGGCTATTTACTGTATCAGTACAAAAGTAGTTAACACAGATAGAAATAAATTAATTGCAATAAGAGCAATAAATGCAAGCACAAGGCATTATAGACCTACGCAAACAAACTAAACAAAATAATAAAAGGACTAAAGAAAAAAAAACCAGAGAAAATCTGCACAGAAAATTGTGATCAGTTGTACGGTTGGAAAAGGAAGAAATATTTGATTGCTGTTAAATGTTTGTTTTGTTTTCTCTAGTTGTCTTTCTTTTCTATCTATCTATCTATCTATCTATCTTCTGTTTCACTTATTTATTTTCTTCTGTAGACTATCTGGTATATTATTGTGTATTTTTTTTAATTATCCCTTCTTGTATATTTGTTGTAAATATTATAGTGCTTACATTTTTTAAAACAGAGTAGCGCCACCTTACGGTTTTTAAGGGGTAATTTGCTTTTAGTACACACGATACGTCATACTTTATGTATATATGCATTTTATAATGACATATTAAGCATTTTAGAAACATTAATATTGTGTAATTTAGTTGTAGACCTATACAGTTATTCGTTTCATTGTATTATGCGAGTAATTTCCTGTTTGTGATATAAAAAATAATGTTACACACAAACAGCAGCATAATTTTAAAAGTAACAATCAAAATGTACACAATAATTAAATTGAATTTTATCAAATGAACAATTCACTATTAAGCCCATTTTGTCATGACAATCCTGCATGAAAACTTACAAAATTAACAATTCACTCTTGGGCCCATTTTGTTATGACAATCCTACAAAAACAACTCCCCTGAACACAAGATGAAATATGAAGGGCACTCTGGAAACTTCTGTTCCAGGAGATTGTTGAGGGCCTTTTCCTCGTCCTCTTCCTCCATTATAAGGAAAAGAGGCTCTTCCACTGGCCCCCTGAGCAGATGTCTGTTTAATGGAGCCATTTCACAACTTCTGTCAGATTACTGGGATCTCCTTCATTACAGAATATTAAAGGAAAATGTAACTTTAATATTTCTTATTAATGTATATAGATAGATAGATAGATAGATAGATTTGAGACA